ATCCCCCACCTTAAACTTGGAAAGCTCTCCTTGGATTCCCTAATGTCTGTACTGTGACCTCGAAGGGAACATACACAGGAGAAAATATGCTGTGGCACGTTAACATCTACCATGATATTGGCCTCTACAGCTTCAGGGCACCCAAATGACAGGTATTAAATGAAAGTACCTGCACTCAAGAATAGCTTTGCATCTGTGGTTTTGAATGCTTGACAGATATATCAGTCTAGCATTCTGAAACAGCTTCTGACTTAATTAGGCTCCTCAGGTTTACCTGAACTGATTGACAGGAATTCTTAGCCCTTAATATAGTACCTTGTGTCACTGTATACTAACCTCTGTGGCTGATGTTTTACTGGTACAAACGAGATAAAAATATTTTTCAGGCCTACTTTTCCAAGGAAGTTAAGTGATGTGAGACATTAGGGGGTGGCTGACAGCAGGTAGAGAATGAGACCTCTGAAGACTTGAGGGAGAAGAAACCCCCGCTGTGAATGCGGGGTGGAGGGAGATCGATCAATGATATATATCAATGTGAGAATTGCTTTGACAATTTCTAGTCTGCATTTCAGTTCTGTGAGCAGGGGTGTCACAAGTGGTAGTTTATTGTTGATTTTTAAGCTTTATATTTATTTATGCATCATTTTTTTAATCACTGTGAAATTCCAGATACAATTCCAGTAAACAGTTCTCTCTGTTTTATGGATAAAGCTCACTTTTAAATCTGTGTGTCGGGAGATCCTTGCCCAGTGATGGGAACAAGAGGTTCAGATTCTAAAACATGGTTTTGTCAGATATCAAGTAGCATATTTTGGATATCTCTCTTTTTCCCAAACTTAAAAGGTGTAAAGTTTCTGTCATTCACTTTTTTTTTTTTTTTTTCTTTCTGTTGTCTACTGGGGTAAATTGCTTTCTAAGAAGTAGTAGCTATGAATTGAAAGTTCCTTATTGTTTGTCTTCAGTAGTGTTTCTCTATAGAATCACTATAAAAGCTGTGCAAAATACCTGCTGCGTCATCTCAGTTTTTCAACTGCAGTTACACAGAATACAGAAATGAAATGCAATAACTCTTGTAATAATTTGTAAGGCCGGATTTCTTAGAAATTTCTTTTGTTTCCTTCGTCCCCTCCTTTTTTCCCGATGATCTCTTTTTCTATAAGTACTAATCAGTGGCCTTTTAAAATAAATTGCAGTTTGGAATTGATAGGTCAGCTCGATCCAAATCAATTATTGTGTGGTCATATCTAAAAAAACGTTCCATCCTCAGAAGGCCTGTATGTTTGACACCATAGTGAAGTGTATTTCTGACGCTAAACTCCACTCAATGTAGACGCTCAAACTATTCCAAACTGTATATTCAGCCAGCATGTGACCAGCTAACATGGTTATGTTAACCCCTGTAATCTGAAAGCTCTGCTCCGTGATGTTTGTGAGTGTGACCATTTCCATATATGCAATGCATATATTGGGGGAACTGTTTATCCTCATGGGAGGGGGTGGGGGACATGCACAAAAAGAAGTTGGAAATCAGCTGTGGCTTCATCAGATCCCTGCTGCAGGTGTAACCTTGCATGCCTCACTTCTCTTGAACCTCTGGGACGTCTGCTTTTTTTCAGCGGTAATTATTAGTTTTATTTTTTAAGTTCCAGGGGACCTCTAAGAAAGGGGTGAGTCGACTGGACAAACAGATGCGGAAATTCACAGATATCAGGAAAAAAAGCAGATCGGCCCATGCAGTGAAAATCAGCATTGAGGGCAATAAGATGCCATTGTGACCCTTCACAGAAAACCCCATGACCTCTGCTGTAAGACATGCACCCATAGACTCTTTGGAGACCTTTAAATTTTTTAACAACTTGTTTGGATTTTTTTAGCGAATCTTTAAATTGTTGGTTCAGGTTCTGGTATAAGATGTTGTCTGAGGACTGTGAATATGGGGACTATTTTCTCCTGATTGTATTTAAACTTGCTCTATTGTGTCCTTTGTACAGATCAAGTATTTGTTGTATTGCAACACTTTAGACAATAAAACATCCTTCTGTTTTTTTTTGGGGGGGGGGCTGTCTGTTGATTTGCTCGTGATGGTATAGGTGTGGAACGCTGAGGAGAAAAGAGTGAATATCTGAAATGTGGAAAGAAGTGTGTACTTGGTGTGTGGAAAATCTAGTAATGGTGGATTTTGTTTACCATTTTCCATTTCCTATTTATTTGGTGCCTTTAATTTTAATCAGTTGTTCTACATTTGGAGATCTGCATATATTGGATTTGATGTCAGAAATATCGACCATCTCCCACTGCAAGGATTCCATTTTTCAGCCCATGATGCAAAGCTCAAGAGGAAGCAAGCAGCAGCCCTGCTGCTAAAAATGCCAGAGGCTTTGAGCTAAAATGCTTGATGTAAGTAAGACCGCAGTATTTACCTGTTATCTAAGATCCTCTCTGATAAAAGATCAAGGCAAAGCCTTCAAAGGTGAGTGCTGTGAAGAAAGAAATGGCTGCAGCTGAAGGGAATTACTGTGAAGTGTGATAGATGATAGCATAAACAGATTATTTTTCAAATAAACCAGACTTTTGAATCAAGGTTAGTAAGACCGCGCAAGGAAACTGAATCTCAGAGGGATAGGCATGCTTCTTTTCCTCTGTCTCTGAATGCTTTATTCAGAATGTAGCGGGGCAGTACGGAGCCTTTGCTGCATGGGATCAATACTGCCATGATGTCGATGGGTACAGCTGACAGCCATGAACATTCTGAAAGGTTTATTTTGCCAGTGGTAAGGAAGAGGATTGTAGCTCGGCATTAGGTGGTTCATGCTGCTATTTCTTTGTCCCCGATTGCTGCAGAAGGGCAGCAGAGCAAAATACTCTACTGCTACCTCTGTAACTAACTTTTTTTTTGTCTACAAGAATGAGCCTCGTCTCCTTGCCTGGGTAACTGGCAGTGGGACTGGCAGTGAGAAAGCAGCTGTTGTTCCAGAGGAACACAGCCTATTTGCTTATGAAAAATGTGAATGGAATTACAGTGAGGTGGTTTTATTGGGGGGGGGGGGGGGGGGGGGGGGGAGGTGTTTGTTTGTTATGGAAGGCGCTCGGCCTCTCTGGCTTTTGCTGGAACGGCTAAGGGTGAGAACTTGGATGCTCACCCCCACCCCCAATATGCTCTGGTGAGCCTGAAGGGGGAACTGTGATGATACAGTAAAGCTGTATTCTAGGAAGCTAACAACTAACTAACTTGCAGCAAAAAAAAAAAAACCCAACAACAACAAAAAAAAAACTGATGAGGGCTGCCTGAGCTAGAGCCTGCTAAATGATCTCTGCTTGTAGGCTGCTTCATCAGCTCTTACTAGCTATACCTATGAGCCCATACCTGTCATCTCAGCATGCCAAAAGCATGCGCCTGCGTTCTGCTGAGGGGGTGGTGGCAGTGGCTGCTCTTTTTATTTCTTGGCAGACCGTCACTGCCATGGGGGCTAGTGCAGCTATGTGAAAAATAAAATGAACCATGTGTCTGGCCCTACTTAAGTAAGTACTGGACATTGCTGGACTTGCGGTTGGGAGCCCCCCCCCAGTAATCCTGATGAACCTTTTTAACCACTATTCTTGATGTGCCTCTTGCATGTTTGGTTGCGTTCTGGTACTGCACTTCTTGTTTTGGGGGGGGGGGGAAGGGTATGGAATATTTTTAGATTGTAGTAGCTGCTGTGCTCTTAAACCACTGACTCCCAGTGGCCTCTTGCCATCATCTGTGCTGTTTCTTATGGAATGGTGCAACGCTGCAGAAAAGAAATGCTCATGTGTTTGAGTCCTGTTTCTAAAAGTTGGCACTTAATAATGAGTTGTAAAGTAAGTCAGTCACAGCATTTTAACGTTGGGCACGCTAGCTAGCAGTAGCTATATCTACCTAGTAATTGCAGCTGAGGAAGGAGAGAAAAATGATTCTACTAGTATGACAATGTTTCTACTCAGAACTGATACGTTATTTATTTTGGTTCATCTAGTTATTTATTTATTTTTTGTCTAGAGCACTGGCTTGCTGTGGAGGAAATCACCCCTTTAACGGGATGGCTAGCTAGAAGCTACATGCACACTGTCAGTCTTCACTCTGTTCAAGTGTGTTCACCAGTATTTCATGTCTGGCTTGCTGCCTCCTCCCACCCCAAACACTGTGACCTGTTATGTATGCTGTAGGGTGTGCAGATGTATGCTTATTTCTTCAGACTAAAGACAGACATTTGTTTCTTTAATTGGAAAAGTGTAGCACATGGATAGTTTTTGTCTTTTGCTACTTCTGCAGCTGTAACTGTCTTTTGTAGGTCCGTTTTTGTAGTACCTCCTTGCACTGTGGGCAGGGTGGGAGGGCAGCTGCCACCTATTCCTGCCTTCCCTCACCAGCTGCTGGTGCAGAGTCGTGCTGTGACGAGCACTGCTGTGACTTTGTCCTTTTGTCACAGCAGTGTCTATTTCTTTAATGGGCAGAACTTTCCTGGTCAGTGTACTTAAAGCTTTTTCTTTCCATGAGTATGATTTAAACAGCAAAATGCCTTTACAGAATTCTAGGGACTAGGCTGAGGTGTGATTTACCCCCCCCCCCACACCCCCCCACCCACAAGTGTTCCCTTTCCCACCACCCCCCCCCTTAAAATAATAATTTCTCTTTCAGATGGCTATCATACCATCCTTCACTGTTTCTTTAGCTGCAGCTGGGAGCATTCCCTCGCCTAGCCCTTTTATCTAGTGCAGTTTATAATTCAAGATGCTCTTCAAACATTAACTTTTAGTATTGGAGAACGTTTCTATTTAGTAAACCGAATAGTGTTTCGTAACTAGAGGAGAGACACCACTGATAGAGAAGTGCTCCCCTTTGAGTGATTAATTAATTCCCATGTAGGACTCTTACTCTATTTTTGTGATGTGCTTGAGAAGCAGAGAGAGAGTTTTTTTTTTTTTTATCTCAAAAGTGCCCTTTGCAGTAGGATCTGTACATGAAAGAGAAGTTGCACAAGTATTTTGCTCAGTAACACTTTAATGAAAATTTAGAAATTATGGTAAAAACAGGCTCAGAAATTTCTTTGAAGGTAAGTATGGTTTTATACCATTAAGGACAGGAACTGAACCGTGTTACAATAGACTTTTCCCTGTTTTTAAAAAAATGGTCTTAAGACTAGTTAGTGTAAAATCTTTTCAGACTCTGATACACTTTCAACAACCTCTTTAATCCATGGAATGTAATTGGATACCCGAGTATAGACACCATATTTTCCTTTTTCAGCACAGCCCTCACCCCAGCTGACAATCCCTAAGAGGAACCAAGTGTTGTGGTAAGATACTGTAAAAGGGCCACCACTGTCCCCCTTGCAGGCATCTTCAGCTTCAGCGTCGTAGCCTGCACAGAACATGTTATCAGTAACCAGTCTATCTGTTGACTGCTGGCAAGTGTCCATGCTTACAATGGGCAACTTGACCTTCATGAGGAAGCGCAGAGTAGCGCCTTTGTAGTGAGTGGCACCCCATCCACTTACCATCCCTACTCTTCCTTCTTCACTTAGCAGAGTTGCAAGGCTGGGGCTAGGAAGGCAAATGGGGATTGCGTACTCATTAAAAATGACGTTACTGCTCAAGTACAACAAGGCAATGTCACTATTGTGGTTATTGGAGTCATAGTGTGGATGTGTCCAAATCCGTTCCACGTCAATCTTCTGTTCTTTCATTTCTCTTTGATATTTGTCAAAGTCTCCTGTAGGCATGACAAATTAAGATGTTAGAGAATTGTAACTAACTAGCTTGTAGCATACTTTCAGTGGGAAGCAGGAAGCACAGGGAATCGATGCTTTCATCTCCCATCTTAAGAAGGCACAGATCAAAATAAGTCACAAGCTGTAAAAAATAATTTCTCATGCTACAGATGATAAGCCTGCATATCAAGCTTAACTCTGTTCATCTTGGGGGACTAATAAAATAAGGTTGCTGACTGGCTGAATAGCCAGCTATGGAAATTATGGATTCCTGTATGCAGGGGTTTTAACAAGACTACTGTTAATGTTTTTTAGTAAGCACTGTATTTTTGAACAGTTTGTTTAAGGTTGCATGGGGCTAGGTTTTTTTTTTTTTTTTTTTTTCTCCTCTCAGGAATATGAAATAAGTATTAACATGCAGCAAGTGATAAGGCTGAATTATTGTTTCAATTACTCAATATTGTATTCTGTTTGCTACTCTTGTTCTCCACCCCCTGCCCCCTGCCGAGGTTTCAAGCATAAGATGATTGTATTTATTGCAGCATTTCTGTTTCAAGGGGTTCTAATTCCTGCCATTATAAGCTGTGCTCTCAGGTGCTACAAGTGAGAGGGACGTTTTTCTGCTCTGCAGCAATTACAGGCATGGGCTTCGCAGCAGCTCAGCAGGATCCTAATCTTAAAGTCAATTATAATACAAAACTGACTTCAGAGTAGACAGCCAGCCAGCTACAGCACTCCTCCTTCCTTCTGAGAAGTACCATTCATTGCTCAGTCACCATGCACAGTGAGTTTGTAGACATGGGAGACAGGAAAGATAAATCTGTGCCTTACACTTTCAGTTTCTTCACAGAAAGAAAAGGGCCCAGCTAGAGCCCTTTTATACTTAACTGTTGCCCAAGAAACTGAAGAGTTTTATAATCTAAATCAGGTTGGATGCATCGGCTTATTTCTCAACCGTACCTTATTGTGTTAATGTAAAAGGCAGAGGCTTTTAGACATAATTTCTTATTTATGCTTATTTTTTTAACAAAAAGAAACAATGTAAGAACTGTACTCACCCACAGTAACATGGTGTGGTCTAACAAGATCAAGGCAATGAGCAGCGGTGATCACCCAGCGACTGCTGATTAAACTCCCTCCACAGAAGCCGATATCTTTACTATTTCGGATCAAAACCTGTATGAAAGAACAGGAACAAAGTGTTGTTACCACTGATGCGTTACGGACAGGTAGGTATACTGTCAGTTTATCTCTGGTCAGTCGCAGGCTCTGTATCTTGAAAATCACATGGTAGTTTTAGAGATAATCACTACATTGCAACAGTCAAAGAGGATGTTGCTTAAGAAAGTAATCATATAAAGTGATCATAAAACCGTGACACTGGAGCAGAGTATTATGATGAACTGAGCTTGACAGAGTCAAATAGGACCAGAACTAAAATGACTGACATCATTCTTCGAGGGAATCCAGTATGATCTGAGATTTCTTTTTTTAAAGTGTGATTTCCAGTTGTTCAGTTTGGGGGTAGAGAGACAAAACAACTCAGTCGTTAACACAAGGAGTACTTTATACAAATCATCATACAGGTTAAAACAGCTGGACAGGTGTGCAGTAATCTGTACCAGGAAAGTAAAAATAGAAGGCAGAAGTGTTTGTCTTTCTTTAAGAACAAAGAGTAGAAAAGCTTTCTGAATATTCTAGTTATGAAGTTGAAGTGGAAACGAGTGGAGATGTAGGAAAATTGATTGTTATTTTTCCTTTTCTTTTTTTGATAATAAACTTTAGAATGATCTACAAATAAAATGGAGAAAAGATGGAGAAAAAAAAAAATTCCCTTGCTATTACACTTCTCCCTATTAGACGTTCATGAAGCAGCACGCTATGCTCCACTAATGCCTCAGGATCTCTTAATTAAACTCATCCCTAAACTTCATATTTCATTTGTTAATACCGAGGAAAAATTGTAAGTAAGTTAGTGAGAGTGACGTTAAAATAGAAGAAGCCCTATTAAAAAAGTGGAAGAAAAAAGTCAAGCTGAGACCCAGCCCGTACCACTTTTGAGTCTTACCGTACCACTTTTGAGTCTCAGTGCAGTGCCTGGAGACAGACCATGTTTTACATGAGCCATATTGACTTAATTTTCCGTAAAATGCGTGCAAAAATAACTCAGTGTACTATTAGCAGTTCTAATTCTGTCTGGTCAGAGAGGAAGGACAGTATTACCTGCCAGGGGCACTGGCCACGGTGACAAAAAGTTCCTCCCGTTATTCTGGAATCACCATGTTCTGAAGTATTGATGTTTAGCTGAGTGTACTGAGGCCTGACCGAAACGTTTTCCCCATCATTGCTCTGAGAAAGATCTTTGTGCACATGTGGAATTGCCCCCGTTTCATTCTGGCCAGCAGCACTCTCAGCGGTTTGGTTTTGCCCAGCAGCGTTTTCCACGGTTTCATTCTGCCCAGCAGTAGCTTCTGTTGTTGCATTCTGCCATGTAGCACCCGCTGTCGGCTCACACCACCCACTCTTGCCTCTCCCGGTCACGTTAGGCCTGGTGCTCCCCTCCACAGTCTCACTTTGCTCAAGGCCATCCTCCTCCTGCCCAGCAGCACCATCTCCCATCTTGTGCTGTTTAACAGCGTCCGCTATCGTCTTGTTCCAGCTGGAAGCATCTTCTGCCAACTCATTTTGCCCAGACTCGCCCTCTAAGATCTTGCTTTGTCCAACAGCATCCTCTAATGGCTTTAGCGCTCTGACAGCATCCATCTCGTTTTGGCTAACGGTCTCCTCCAAGCTCTCGTTCCACTCAGTACCATTGGTCTCCATCTCTCGCAGGCCTCTCGGAACCATTTTTTGCCCCAGAGGCTCTCGCTCCAAAGCACGTCTGACTTTAAGGAGGCCACATGGAAATGGTGCTGGAGGAAGGGGAGAAAAGCTTTGAGCTTAGGGTGCATTATACAGTGTCAACTTTGAACACAAAAGTAGTATTTTTTTTTTTCCTTGTCAGGGACACGCTTCAGACCTCATACTTTAGATCCCAGCAACAATGTTGTCACTGCGATGTCCAAAAAACAACAAAACAAAACCACCCCAAGAACCTCAGCACCTGATCAGGGTGCACAGAGCTAACTACTGGGAAACGCAGCACAAGATTGTGCTTTTTCTGAACCACAGCCATCAGCTGTGGCTGGCTACTGTGGGCGCAGCCTGCCAAGCGCCCACTTCAAGACCAAGCGCATCGGGTCAAAGGACTCCACAGCCAGCGCTCCTGTTGTGACAGAAGGCCCTAACAAACACAAAAGTTTTTAAAGAAAGCTAGGTTGAGGTCAGGCCCCTCTCCTCTTAAAAACTGAGGTGTAACTCAGTTATAAGTTGATCTGTGCTGCCACCTGTCCCATCCCAGACCAGGTACTGCTGACGCAGAAGCATCTTTTTTTTTTTTTTTCTGTTTTTTCTTTTTTTTGGTTAAATATACATCAAGTGCAAGTTAAAGCAAAGGGAAGACTGTGCCTGCAAAACTGCTCTTTACCTGCAGTAAGTCGAGCTGAACACTTTACCTGATTGCACACATTTTTTCCCATCCTCATGCAGGGTGTAACCCTTGGCACAGGAACATGCCACATCAAAGCCTCTTCTGGTGTCTTGGCAATACTGCCAGCACCCACCGTTCTTATACCAGCACTCCAACTTTTCTGCAATGGAAACACATGCAGTCACTTTGTGATTGCTATGAACAGATGCCCTAGCAGCACACAACTTCTGCAATACAGAAGTTCTTCCTTTACAATAAAAGAAATTATGACAAAAAGAAATATCTGCAGTAACATGGCATAGGAAGAGAGGAAACAACTCACTCTTACCGTTCCAGAAAAACCCAGCACATGGCCTTACTTTATATCTGTTTTAGTCCTTCTGTTTCCATTTTATATTTGCCAGCTTTGCTTTGAGACCGTAGCTGGCGTCTAGGCCTTTTGTCTATAGACTGTGGGTGAGAAGAGCACACGCTTCTAAAGGCATCCGTTTTTGGTCCTGCTCAAGTCTTAGCTTTTGTATCAGGGCAGATTTAAAGTATTACGTAAGTTTCCTTGGTGGGTGACCAAGCCTTCCAGAAATTGTCAGAGCTGTTTCATGTACTGTTGCATTCAAAAAAAAAAAAGACTAATTGCTTCCCTGTAAAAAGGTTGGCAAAAATAAACCTAGGGAAAAAAATTACTCATGATTCTCAGTTTCCACCTCAGTTTTGTTTTTGCTGTAATTTCATGCCTTTACTTGCAAGCTGGAGAGAGGCTTTCAGAGGGCCAGGGATCCGATAAGAGATATGGAGATTTTGTTTCATTGTTCATCATTCATGCATTGACCCATAAATATAGAATTGTTTGTTTACACTTAAGTGTTGGCTAATGAGTTTGATGCATTTAATCAATATAAAATTAAAAAGAGAATAGGGCCTCAGCATGACAGAGTTCCAGTAGAAGCTTCTAAGACAGGAGTTACTAGATTTGTTAGCATGCTACCTTAAAGTGATAAAAAGAAGTAATTCTCTGTCTTTTCTGGGGGGGAAGGGGGGCAGCTAGGAGATGGGCACATGCTTTCCCCTGGGCTTGCACAAACCAGCACGGGAGTCCAGAACCGCTGCTTCTGCGTGACAGAGGCAGCGCTACCCGCTCTCTCAGCGCAGCGGAGCTAGGAGAAGCTACAGCCACCGCCACGTGACGACTCCCTTTCTAGGATGGTGGTGCCCAAGCATATCACATATGACAACACTGTTCTAATGTATTAATCTTAAACAACAGACCTGTGACATATCAGACAAAGTCAGCGTTGATGGCCTCGATGACAAGCCCGTGCAAAGTTTCAGCTCAAGGGTACAAGGAGCAACTTCCACTTTTGAATCCTTCAAGATGAATTTTAATGTGTGTATTCCTGTACTCACCTCTTTCACAGTTATCGCCTCCAAATTTTGGGGGGCAGATGCAGAAGTAATTGTAGTGTCTTATTTTGCAGACTCCACCATTCTTACAGGGATTTGTATTACATGGATTTAAACCTAACAGGAAGGAAAGGGGTATAGTATAATTCCATGAATTTAGAGAAGCCTGGCATAGCTCTTTGCACCCAGCAAGAACAGAAGAAATAGATGGAAAAAAACGTCTTTTTCTAACTTACCTTTGTAATTGAACCAAAACTCCATCTGCAAGAAGAAGTCACAAATAAAAAAAACAGTCAGGAAGCAGTCAAACTGGTTACGGAACATATTTAAAAAGAAACAGGTTTGTTAGGGTGCAGGTAAATTTAATTTTGGTGAGAACCATGAAATATATTCTTGAAGCAAATCTGATTATCACCCTGAGGCACGTTTTGGTGTGTATCACGGAGCAGTCAGAGAGTGTGCGACTTGGACTATATTGGGATATAAACAAACTGAAAGATCAGTTCCCCAAATGCTCCAGCCAGTACAGGGCGCACGGCACTAGCATGAAGCACCTCAACACCAAGTGCACCGCTCTACAGAGCTGTTTCTACTGCACTGCACTGCCTGCTAATGTAGATATCACCTCAGTAGCTCAGGGGTAGATACCAAAAAAATTGGACACCTCTATTTAAATGTGCAGTCCCAAACCGCTGTTCAGCTTTTCCTAACCTTCAAAGTCATAAGACCTCGTTTGACCAACGTTTCTGCTTCGGCAGAACTATTACCTTTTTTTCAGAACAATCATAAGGCGAGTGGATCATATAATCCCAGAATAAGGCAGTACTATATTGGAATGAGAACATCCACACAGCAAGTTCATCAGGAATATCATCTAGTCCACTTCATACTCGCATTCCACCAAAAACCAACTTACGTCTCCCACCTTTTCTGCATTGTGTCTTCATAGCTAATTAAGTAGTTGGAATTTAGAGTAAAAACACGAATAAAAAAAGAGTAGAATATTTTTACTAGTGTTAAATCACTTGAAGTTAGAAGATGTGCTTTATCTGTCAGTGGAACTTCTGGTTGAGAGCAATTTCTTGGATCTTGCTATTAACTTTCCTTTTCCTAAAACAAAGTTTCTCACCGTTTTCTCCTGCGAATGGAAAATCTCCTTAGCCTCCTCAAAAGAGCACGTTTCCTCAATACATTCTCTCTCCAAGTTCCCTGTGCGAATCTCTTCTAGAAAATAGTTGGCGCGTTTATGGACTTTCAGCACCTCGTGTGCTTTATCTTTTCTCATAAACACTAGATAAACAAAATTGAACAGTTAATCATATTGGAGGACAACAAACCATCGTTACAGGACCGGTCATGTGTGCTTTCAGTTGGATAAACAAAGAAGCGGGGGCGGGGGGGAATCTATTTAAGGCACCTAAAGGGAAATTAAATCAGTCTGTGTTACAAAAAAAGGCATTACTACTTTAAGCTTTATTTAGTGGATCACAAGACCAGTTCACTTAAAAAAAAAACACACACACACACACCAGCCTCAAAATTCATGAACTTTTTGTAATAGTGCCAATGACAGGCATAGCAATCAAAGATTTACTATGTGAAATAATACTGAATATTCTTAGATTGCTTTCTCCTTTGGAAAGGGCTTAAAACTTAAGAAGCTATGACTACCCGTAAAAATATCTTACGTTATTAACGACTTCATCACTCTTACAAGAAAAATCTTCTACTGTACTTAGACAATTCGCAAAGTCTGTGCCATTATGCTCAAGCTGTGGCTGTTGACATGCACTGTGTCACAGTACCAGTGGCACTGGCTGCGTCTTGGAAAGAGATCCCAGCGGGCAGCGCAGCTTCCGTAGTCTGGGAACTTCACGCTTGTGCACCACTTGTGTTTGAGGAATGCAGGCACCTTGTTCCAGCGCAGCTGTTCACATTTTTAAGGAAGAACCTGATGGTTCATTACTGGGCCTTTCAGACTAGGGCATGAATAGTATTTTATGCCACACGACTCTTTTGAGTATTGCAGCTTCTTCTGTGGAGGTTGGTTAAATTTTTTCTGCCTTACTCTTTCCTGACTGGCAGTGATTACTAGTTGCCCTGGCTCTATGCGTATTTGGAAAGACTCAAAGCTAAGAGCAGAGATTTGGTTGGTATCCGCTGTCAGTCAGTTTTTTTTTAGATATTCAAGAATGGAAACCCGTTGCAGGTAGCTACTGTGGACACAATAAGACAGACACCACTTCTTCAGAAAAGAAGAAAAATACAGTGACAGTTTTCTTCTTCTGTTTCCTTCATCTCTGTTTGGCTTCACTAAGGAATCTGCCCTCCTACTGCAATGCCTTAAAAGCTTTGACTGCCTGTAAGTCAAGGGAGGAGTGGCCCAGAAGAGGGAATATGACAATAAGGTCATATATACCTCCTGGTGCTGCCATTTCTGTTAATGGTGAGTCCTTGATATGGCATCTCTAGCTGAAGCATAGTGCCTCGGGGACTTTTCAGCCAGTATGCGCTGAAGGAAAAGGTATACGCACACTTCTGTAGTGATGGAGCAGGTTTAATTCAGTTGCCCACCCAAGTTTCTAATGACATTTGAGATGCCACAGGGACACTGGCCCTCAGCTGTTGCTCCCAGAAGGACCTGGGACGCCTGTGGCCCTTCCCTCTCTCTCTCAGCCCTTGTGGATGTACGGATACAATGTGCCATCTCAAACACCTCTGGACACTCATGCATAGGGACTGAATTGAGTCTTGAGCCACTATTTTGAGGAGGAGATTTTTGCCTTTTGGTCAGATTTCCAGAAGAGTGGCCCTATATCCAAAGCCCTTCCACCTGAAAGAAAGTCTGTGAAAAACTACTGCTAAGAAGCATTCAAAGGGAAAGCTCATTTTGCAAATCTGACGTAGCTTACTGAAATTCATACACCAGTAATTTAGCAGCACTGTTTTCCTACTCACAGTTTAGTGTCCTAAAGTCAAAACCCTCTTACAAAGGGTTTTGTAAGAGTTTTGCAGATGGATCATAAAGGCACACATTTCTTTGCAGGGGCAGGACAAGTATCTCTATCAATCACTGAAATTCTAGAATATTATTTAATTGCTTCACTTCTAGGCAATTAGAAACAGCTTACAGTAACTCTGAGCTGAAAAAACCTTTGGGCAGATCCTGCTGTCTGGTAATGGGGAGAACACCTTTCACTTGCATCAGTGAAGTTGCTCATTATCAGTTCTTGAGTTCTGGCGTCATCTTTAAAGGGACACCCCTATCGTAAGTACCGCCATATAGAGGATATGCCTATTGTAAAGCCTTCTGCTTTGCAGATGTCACTTCTACTACCCTCTACTCTTCCTTCCTCAGCAAGGACAGCCATACTATCCCTTACGTTCTTACGCTCTCTTCTAAAGCGCCCTGAAGTCATTTCCAAAACTTTTATATAGTAGCAGTAAAAGAAAACATAAGGTGCCTAACAAACATGCCCAAAGTGCCTAATTTTAGTTTCCCAAATTTGAAAACACAGCCTTGCAAAAGTAATTTGAATTTTAGTTCCAATGTCACAAGGAGAAGAGTTGTCAACAGGATCGTGGTCTAAGCAGGAAGTTAAGAATGGTGATTTCTTTCCCAAATCTAAATAAATATTCATTTTTCTCTTGTGCATTTCAGGAAGTCCTTCTTGAACCCTCCCTCAGGAGTTTGTGTTCAGAAAGAGAATGTGGCTTCAGTTTGAATGCCAAAACACTCACTATAAGACAACTAAGTTAAAAAATGTAATTCAGAAGTACCCACCTGAATATGAAAACGGACAGCTGCTGCTGATGGAGCACATTAGTAGGAGAAACATCACAAGTGAGGAACCTCTCTCCATTTTAGTGAGTGTTCAAATTCCTCTGGCTTCCTGCTGCTTACCTTCAGAGGGAAAAGGAGAATGAAACAGGCATATTGTCACAAAGGCAACAAGGGTCAATTAAATAGCAACAAAGAGAAGTAGAAGCAAGAGGACAAAAGACAGGAGAAAGAGAACAAATTCCAGTGGATTCATTCTGATCTGATTTCCCTGCTCTCTCCAGTACCGCTGATGATGCATACTACAACAGACAACAGGAATCCCCGTAGTTCACAAGGCAATGTGTACAGACTGACATAGCTCAGGAAAGTGGCACAGGGTCTGATCCAAAGCCCACGGAAATAATAGCAAAGCTCTGATGAATATGACAAGCATGGGTCAGGCCCAAATTGAGCAGAAGCCAGCTCCACTGACAGCCTTGTTTAAACTGTGAAGGATCCCAGGCTGAGGTCAGCTGTTGTGTAATTACTGCCTGTCTTATTAAATAAGACCGTATGCTAGAATTTTAATTATGAGGCTATCCACCACGTACCTGACAGTAAATATTATGAGAGAGAAGTTTGCACTTTATATTATTTTCACAGGCTAAATAATTTTGCCAGGGTTTGATGATAGTTCTCTCTCTGCTCTTGGTGCCATCTTCCAAAAACACAGGACCCAGAATATATTCACTTTTACAGAAACCCAGACAATTATACTTACTTTTTTCTTTTCTTTTCTTTTCTGTTTTTTTAAGGGAAGACAGAAGAGAGATTTGGATGTACACCAGGGACAGCCACGAGGTCAAGAGATTGATCATTAACCAGTCACAAATATTGACAGAGGAGAAACAACCCTCTGGATTCTGTGAAACACACTTGGAATCCAAAATCAAAATAAAATGGTGTGCATGCGTTTCTACACACACACTCCCCCTATTTAAAAAAAAAAAAAAAACTGTCATCCTCCAACAATACAAGTCACTTCCTGGCAACAACTTTCTTAGGAAAATTTTGGTACTTTTGCGAGAGGATTTCAGAAGCTCCATCTTTCAGTAAGAACTGATCTGGAAAACACACAAACTGCTCTCTGCAAACATCTGTTGAAATATGCAAAGTTGTGAGTGTGTAGGAGGAGTCATAGCGGGAGGGCAAATATTGCCCTGCAGCAATCATAGCTATTCGCAGAAATGACCCTTTCCGCCTCTAGTTAGACCCGTTTTACTGGCTTTGAATACAATACCGTTTTTTACCTTCTAATTCAACGTCTAGCAACTTCAGTCTTCCCAGAAGCTTATGTTCCTGCTTCAGGCCTTGGCTGGAAGGCTGCTGTTCAAAGAAGCATAATGCTTTAACGCCCATTCTTAAATCTAGTCCCAAAGAAAAAAGGGGCGAGACAGAGAGACACAGGGGGCAGAACGTACTCTCCAGGTCCAGCTCACCTCCAACGTGAAGCCCTTGGCCTGTGACTGCTGCTTCTTTTATGCATGAACCAACTTCAGCACTTGCTTAACGAGCATGTGAGCAGCCTGTGAGTCAACAAGTCTAAGTCCACAAATTTAAGTGATATTAAGCCTCTTTGCTAAGAGCATATTAAATTTCTTCCAAATTCTGGTACAAGTTTGTTATAACTGAGGTTATTTTTGCATCTCATATCACAATTGCCAATGTTCGTCACTGATCCCAAACGGGGTCCAAATCCTGACAGAGACGTTAGGAACATGTATCGTTATACCAGAGTTGGTTTCACCTTTTCTCTGTAAGATAATTAATTTTAGCGGGCTTAAGCAAAGGTTAAAAACAAGCCTAAATTGTGATTGTATTAAACTTCATTTTGACTAGTACTACTTCCTGCGGCCTTACTGGTGTTTTATTTGCTGATACGCCCAGAACACATACAGATATAGATGCAAACACTTTAAAAAAAACATGTATCAGTAAATACAAGGTATGCTAAAATTGCCTGCAACTGATTGCATTCGCTAGCATAAGCATTCAATTCTAGCAATTTGCTTATCTTACTAATCAGAAGAGATTTACAGACACTAAGACAAAAAGAGCATGCCAAAGCTTGGAATTCAACCGCTTTTTCTGAGCAACAGCAGAACTCCTGTTGACTTTTAAGGAGGTCTGTGCAGGGAGAAAAAAATCAGGCACCGCGTTTGCAAGGCATTGAAAACGCAGAGAAGTTCTACTGACCTGTTGAATTAACCTAGTCTGCGAGCGCTGGAGTAAAACGTGAACGAGTGGAAGCAGTGACGATGCTATTAAAATTTCCTTGTGCTGAAAGAAAAGCTATGCACGTGCAGAGCAAACCAAATAGTTATTGTGGACAACACGCTAGAGCAAAGCTGAAGTGACAGAACTGTGTTACTAGGCTGATTTTTTTAACACTTTCCTAAATTGGTCTCTTTCTCTCTTATTCTGTCCTCTCCTGCCCCTCCCTCACCTCTCAAACCCCTTCAGTCGTTTTGCGCTTCAAAGGCATATTCTTTGGACCACCAACTACCTTACTGTTTACAGCATCTAAGCGTAACAGGGTACTGTTTCTTGGCCTAAGCAGGACCACGCTACAAATAAACGACATAAGCTAGAGAAAGTACCAAGGAAAACAGTACACGAGGTTAACACAGACTCAATATTTAATACTGAAGATGTGACAGTACATTACACTGCATACTGTCACTAGCACACAGCCACAATATTCCAGACTCGCAATGTAAGAATCAGCCCTTCAAAGAAGCAGACATCTCATCTATGTTGTGCTGGATCCACTCAAGGTACTGGCTAACTTTGGTATAGACCCCAAATTTCTCCAGTCTTCCACAGCCTTCGCCCCAGCTCACCAGTCCTACCAGAAACCAAGTGTCCTTAAATTTAGTGATCATGGGACCTCCACTGTCCCCAGTGCAGGAATCTTTCTTGTCTCCTAAGCTCCCAGCACACAGCATGTTATCAGAGATAGCAAATCTCATAGCTTGAGCACACTCGTTCCGGGGAACCATGGGGATTTCAATGTAACTGAGGACAGTAGAGTAATTCTTCTTGGCAACATCACTTGTGCTGCCCCAGCCAGTTACCACCATCTGCTTCCCGCTTGTTGTCAGCTCATGTTCTGCCAGGTCCCTGGTGGGAAGACAGATAGGGAGCACGTATTTGTTATACATCACGGGCTCAGCCAAGTGCAGCATGGCTATGTCATTATCGGAGGTCTCCTTGGTATAATTCTCATGGCTCACACGTTTATCAACCCAAATGGTTTGCTCCTCTGCCTCAGTACGGAAACGGTGATATTTACCTGGAAGAGCAAACAAGAAGATGAGAGATGTTCCTGAACCTTCTGCTCTGTCAAAACAAAGGGAGTCTTCCTTCACCTTGAACACCCAAGTCTCTGGATCATACTGGGGCTTTAGAGGTCTACTTTCTGGTTTTAGTACCCTTGCGATAGAGACATTGTTTCATTTTGGTTTTACGTTAACAGTGTTCTATTTAATTGAGGGAGAAATCGTTACACTCTTCCTGTTTGTCTTTTATCGTGAATAGAGGTGGTACTAAATGAATTAATACTCTAGAGTTAGGGTCATCCGTGGAGAAACTGAAATACTTCTGTACTGCCATGTTATGTCCATATTGCAGTACTCTGCATGCAACTAGAGCGATCTTCTTGAGGAGGAAAATAATCTTCTTGGAGTCAGCATTAAAAGTGGGGAGGAGATCAGCGTACAGCAAAGCAAGAAATTTACGGTACTACATGAGTTTTTTGCTACGTATCCAGTCTCTGAATGACTGAACTGTAGGATCTAAAAGTGATGGAGTGGTAAAGATTGTTCCTTTTTAAAATCTTAGATCTGTATATTTAAAGAGTTTCTGACCACTTAAGATTTCTCCGCCGTTATTTGTGCCACACAACTTTGGCCACTTCACGGGCCAAGCAGTCATGCAAAAGTTAAAGGAAACAAAGTTGAAAAGGGCTGTAAAGGGAAGAACAAGTCGTCTGTATGTGATACACTGGAAAAGAGGAGGCAGAAAAGGATCTGTCCAATATGATCTGGAGAGGGAGCCACAAAAAATAATTAGCAGCGTTATGTTGGGCTGTCACATGTCCAAACTGTGCTATCAGTTAATTTAAGATCATATCAATGCCTACTTTAGTATGCACTCGATAAAAATATTTCTCCCTTTTGAGGTTTGTCTACTATTCACATTCAAGCTGTAGGCATATGTCCAAGCACAAGAGACAGAAGGATACCCAAGCCGACACCTCCCCTCTGCCCGTGCTGTGTGCACGTGACAGAAGCGCACTTTCTTTCTCAGTCCCTCTAAGGGTGATTTGGAGGTTGCTCTTTATCAGCAGCTTTCCAAATGTGTCATTCACAATACTATCCTTTACATTTTTTCCCCCCACTCACCGTTAACTTTTTCCTTCTTTCAGCAGTGAATCCTTTCAGATACAAACTCTAAAACAGAGGAGAAGCTGCTCTGACTTTGTGCGACCAAGGTCCTTTGAAGTCACTTGCTTTAGTGTAAATTCCACCTTGCTTGAACCTGTCAAAGGGGTATTCCAGCTGTTTGTTTTCTGTAAAAGAGTCAGGGTCTCCAAGCGTAGCACCTTTATGACCAGCATTCAGAAGGTGCACTGAGCAAAGTTCCAAAAATAGAGTCTCAAAAAACCTCCTAAGTCCAGTCTTGGATCTTGGATTTCCAGATCTCTTATTTCTGAGTCTCTCTCCTCTTGCTCCTTTGCAGACAGTCAACGTTATCACATACAGTCACAGGGGACAGCACACTTCCATACCTGAAGCGGATCTGCCAAGCACCTATATTATATAGTGCCAGGGCTTGAAGGGCTTGTTATTGTCAAGCCATCACACTGAAATCTGTTTTTTTTTTTCCTGCTATTACAACCTCTCTTCTTCATGGTGACAGCGTCCGTCCGTAGCATCCTTGGAGCAGATTCCTTACTACGCTCATCTACTTTGCAGCAGCCTTGGCAGGGGGCTGACTGTCGCGGATTCCCAGCCGTAAGGGGCAGGTTTTCGCTCCTGTCTTCACAGCTACAAAGCTCTGCTTTAGGCCTCAGAGCTCACAGAAACGACTCTGGACTCGGTCACTGTGAGAGCGTGTCTCCTCTGGAGGAGCCAGTTGAGTTGTGTGGGACCATACTTTTGGCCAGGCTTTACACGCTCTGTATACAAGCATGGCCCTGGACTCTCTATATCCTGAGAGCCAACTACAAACAAAGAGGCAACAGCTCTTGCACTGGTGCTACTAAAGCACGGTTTCTCCCCTCTCCCTTCCAGAGGCGCAAGAGAATATCCTTTTGACCTCTGGTCATGAATACTTCCTTTCTCAGTTGTTATCCACCCTAAGAGTTTCAGAGTCCTCTCCACAACTGGCTGCACTGAACCTAGAGGCTGAGTGAAACACATCTAGTCCCTTCTACACATTAAGGAACATCATATTTTGATGCTGGCAGAGGAATATTACTGTGAGGTTCCACATAAATGAGGAAGCGTGAGATCTGTTCTCACGCTCATTACGGTCACGGAGCTCACACCTGCCCCGGCAGACACAGTGACGTCTCCATTCAAAACTCAGTTCCAGGTATCTCAGGGTCTTGATGGTGGATGTCTCTAGGGTTTAGAGCACGCGTGTCCTAACCTGATGAGAACCAGATTTTCTGGTGGCACTGAAGTGCCCAAAAGAGACATGTGCAAGGATAAGCACGTGATTATTGGTGACCCTTAAGCTAGGTCTTAGAAAGGTTCCCTTTTACACGGCCTGGAGTATCATTTGGAGATTAAGAATCTTCTTTCTCCTGTTGGTGAAGTCTCAGACTGTGGCTGTCTCAGCCCTGCACCTGCACCCCACACCACGGTAGAGGACCTTCTGTGGTTTCTGTGTCACCACAGCAACATTCCTCAAGGCTTAATGATGAGAGAGGTTCTCCTGTCACAAGCCACAACTCTCAGTCCATGGCCACACACTTGCTTCTTCCTGTATTAATGAAGGTCTTGTGGGTAGCTTAGGAAACTGGGAGAGGTTCAACCCTTCTTGCTGATCAACCTTACACTACAAATTATTCTGTATATTCAATATAAATTATTATGTGTATTCTCCAAATTTGTGTGTAAGGTGTCTCTTCAGTTTCAGTTGAGCCAAAAAAATTAATCCTCTCAAATCAGGGTTCTCAAACGCTGACACCTTTCTTCACCCTTTGAAAACTGTCTATCCTTTTTTTTTTCATTTGGATAGCACAAGACTCTCTGTCGATGCCAGCCCTTGTTTCTTTGCTGCAGAAAAAGATCTCTGGGCATGGCTACCCCAGCTGAAAGCTTGTCACACTGGACACATCTCCAGCAAGAGCTGCAGTATGAGACCCAGGTGGAGTGATTTCAGTACACCTTCAATATTTCCACCACGGTAACATTTTCATCCTTGAGACCTGCAGGTCTGTCCCCACCGAGTGCCATTCAGAGCTACGTCAAGCACCGTGGAACACAGCATTCGATAGCTGCTTTTCCCCAAGAAACATTCCAAGACCCTTCATCAAGTAACCTGCACAAGTTTCTGCTTCTTAGGACTCATTATAAGCGGAACATACCTATGAACAATCATTCAATGGGGAAGAGAGTTACTAGTAAGTCACGGTGTTTGGAGATGTGTAGTCAGTAGGCATAGCCTATGTGTATATTTACAAGCTAACCACATTCACTTCTACTTTGAAGTCCCTCTACAGAAAAACTGGGTATTCTGGCACTAAGAGAACACAAGGGAATATCGCGTGCTTCTCCATTCTTCCTTCCTTGTTTGACATAGGGGATGGACACAAACACATCCATCCATCTGTACCTTAAACGCCTCTGGCCTCAAATGTTTTCACTTGACAGAGCATACGGAATATACACAAAAAACAATACATTTCCGAGACCTTCCACAATCACTAAGACAACCTTTGACTAAAGCAGAAAGAAAGCAGCTCAACTATTATCCCTCTAATCTCACCAATAGTAGACAGAAAACACTAAAGCAAAAGAAACTGCTTAAATTGGAATGGAACACTAATTATTTGTCTCTGTTAATTCAGGAGCAGTACTGTACTCCATATACGTTTTGTCATGCTCAAGAGCAGCAGTGCTAGTAACAGCTAGCTACATAACAGACCATCTGTCAGTGCTATTCTGAGGCACTTCTCCTCCTCTCTACCAAAACTCTCTTAAGCAAAGGTGTTCAAATATATCAAAAGGCAGGAAGAGGCATTGTGACATGGATGCATACCTAGGTTCTTCCTCCTCCTGGGCTCAAGACTTTACGTACACTTTGGAAGGAGGAGCTTTTCTTTAGCACTGGGGTAACATTTTTGCCAGCAGAAACACTCAAGCTGAAGAGCTTTCCTAGAGGAGAATCTGAAGTTGAGAGCACAGATTATCTTAACTTTCTCATCTTTCTACCTTCAAGACAGGCAGTAACGCTCAGAAGACAGCTCACTCCCATAGATAAGTAGATAGCTGCTCAAGTGAAAGCACATGGTTTTACTAATATTTTTTGATTTGGGCTAAAGGTCATATTAAATGCTACCTAGACAACCCACTCCTACATCCAGAAGGACTTTCATCTTTATAATCTACTGGTCTTTCTCCTGAGAGGACAAACCTTGGGAATGAAAGAGTTATATTTAAAGAAAAAAGGGGATAGATTTTTTTTTTTTCCATACCAAGTCTTACTTTGAGCCCCTCTCTTGTTTCAATGCAGTGTGCCGCTGTCAGGACCCAAGATGGATGGATGAGAACGCCCCCACACAGAAATTTCCCATTGCTATTTTGCAGCATAACCTGAAACAAAGAAAGAAAGGTCTGACATCACAGGAAATACGGCTCACAAAACGTACACATTCTTCTCCCTGGTTGCAAAATACACTAACGCATCAGGCACCAAAGCGTGCTACATTTATTGAGGTCAAAGCGCTGCAATGGGACAAAAGCACTATGAAGGTCTCTATGGAACATCTACAAAGAAGTTATGAGTATTCTTCCTGAACGAGGGCTGGCTTCATCCAAATCAGCATGGGATGATGTTGGCCACTGAGAGGAAGCACTCTGATACTTCAGAAGCTTTGAAACTCAGAGCTCGAATGAGGGGATTATTCTCCTGTTCACAGCGTGCCAGAGGGCAGTACATCGTCTCAGGCTGCAATTCTCACGCTATAATGTAAAAGGGCCTTTTGTGTCAAAGAGGAACTAGGCTCTGAGTATAGACACTCACTGGTTCCATGATATGCTCTGTAAGATCTCCTCTTTCTCTCTGACATGACATCCCAACCTGCTCTGTAAAGCTATGGCATATTCTGCTGACTAAACCTGCTAGCTTGAACTTATGACAGAAAAGGCTTATAAGAACAGATACACACAGAAAGGGGGAGAAGATGACCTCCCGCTCCTACCTTAATGCTCTACGGTAGCTGCAGCACGCAGCAGGCTGCATGAGCTGCAGGGATGAAGTGGCCTCCCCAGCACAGAGTGACAGAACAGGTGAGTGTCATCAGCGTCCCTTCTCTTGGCACTTTTGACAAGGTAAAAAAAACTTGTCAATAGTGTCAAGGCCAAGAGTCCTAACAGATAAGAAACTATTTCTCCGGTACTCCAACCTTTAAGTCACTCTTGAAAAATCTACACCAAGGGAACCTTAGCTTTGCGCGATGCCACCACTGGTAACGTAGGTGCCTTTCTGGAGAAGCTGGGCAGAGCGCGCTGTTCTGGAAATACCTATTTGTGAAAGCTTCTTTTCTCCTCACCTGCCAAGGGCTGTCTCCTCTTCTTCCTGCTTTCCCTTCAATGAGCCGAATATTGAATCCTGCTCTGGCTTCAGCGTAGTCCACTTTCACTCTTCCACAAGGGAACTCCACTACAAGAGATGCAGAGAAGTTAACTAGCGAAGACGACCAGATCACTTAACAAAAATCCTCTTCCAAAAGCTCTCCTGTCTCTCTAAACAAGGCTGTGCTATCAGCAGCTTTGTGGAAGCCCCTCGCTGCTTCGCAGAGGAGTTAGTTTCCTGATCCCCCTATATGTCTCCATGAGGTAAGCAGAGGCACATGGCTATAATGGGGGTATGGAGCTGGGCAATGCAGGCACAGAGTTACTCTCCATGCAGCAGGTGCTTTGAAGACTATTAGGAAGCACAAACAATTCTGTAAAAGCCCCTTATTTCACGCTTGAACAATCCTCTGTCAGAGGTGGACTACACACATCCTCTTCTTACCGACAGGCTTGCACATGGTATGGTCGCTCATCAAGTGATACCCGGACGCGCAGCTGCAGAGGCGGTACTGGTTGGCAGGGTCGTCCTTACAGAAGTGCTCACATCCTCCATTGTCAACAGAACAGTTGGTGTATTTGATCTCTGGGAAAAAAAGGAACAGCAAGAGAGACGTGAGAAGTCGGAAAGCCAAAGAATCACAGGAGGGTAAAGCGGCAAAATGACATCAGGGCCTGAGACAGCAAAGAGGCCCAGAATAAGGCAGGGGAGAGATGGAGAACCCAGAGATCACTGTCAGGGCAGGTACAGACTGAAGAACGGAAAGATTCTTTGTCACTGAGTGTGCGTTATACAGCGGCATGTGTCATTGATACACGACACCCATGCTCATCACCGAGTGTACTGGCCAGCTTTTCCCTGAGGAAGGGATTGCTGTCATACAGTATGACAATCAAATCTTTGCAGTGGGCTGTTTTTAACCTCGTATTGTAAAAAGACCCCTCACCATCATCTTCACCATCATGTACCGACAGCTACAAAGCTACTGAAAATCCTGTTTTACAGAATTATTTCCAGTATTTCTGTAAGACTTAGACGTCTCAGATCTCCACACTTTTCCCAAGGCAGCACAAAATTCATTTTGCTTTAGATAAGCACAAATAATCCTTTTATCACATCATGAAGTAACACAGAAATCCCATCAGAAATGAAAGCAAGTGTACTGTGCAATACCAAAAACGTTGATCTCTATATACGGAGATCCCCATCACTAATAATGTTACTTTACAGTGGACTAAAGACCTCATTACCGTAATTGCACAAAGCTCCCTCCCAGCCTTTGCTACAGATGCAGGAAAATTTTCCAATATTGTCCTTGCAGATCCCATTGGAACAAGGCTGTATGTCACACTGATCTCCATCTGAAACAGAGGCAGAAAAACCCAGCGCCTGAACCCTACAGGAGTCTCTCAGATCAAACATTAACACCAGCAGACCCTCCCCAAATTCCCAAGCACCACACAGAGTTCCTGCTACCAAACGGTGATAACTCTGCGGTGCTGGCCCAGAGACAAGGGCGCTTGTTTGGGTTCTGAATCACAGCTGCAGAGTGACTGTAGCAGGCGGAAGGGAAAGAGCGAGCAGAACGAAGCAGAGAGGGCAAAGGCAGGATATTGCAGGACTGAAGACCAAAGTTGGGGCTTTTCCTTGCACCCTGCCAGGTAGGATTAGAGCATCAGAGACCACTTTTGACCAGTGGCTTAGCTCCGGGGAGATGACTGACGATAGGCACAGAGGTACTTGAAGCTTTTCATGATGGCTGCGGATAGGATGGGACAGAAAGACATTCTTTGCATACCCCATACAAGAAAGGAGGAGAATTTGAATTAGCACTAGTTACGCACGAGGAAACACAGAGAGAGGGTTAGGAAAGTCTTTTCTACTTACCTACATATTTGCTCCAGAAATTTAGCTGTGGAGAAACAAAACTTACGTTAAGGCTAGAAACAGACTTTTCACAAGCAAGGGATTTGAAGTGCATTATGGTCTTGCCCAACAAAGCACAGCACAGCACTTAGGTCAATAGGATCATCTTTCTTGACAGAGCAGTGACAGGCACTACAAACCAACAGAACTGGCCAGTACTCAGGTTCACGTGTCACAGCCACCTCCGGCCCGGCGCAGATCCCTCCTGCCCTGCTTGCAGACCCACCAGCACCACTACTCCTCGATAGCCTCTCACAGCCTCCCTGTTTCCTTGTCACTTTACAAGGTAAATCACCTGCACTGTCGAGGGCACAATTACATTTGTGTCCAGGTAGGCAGAACGTGGGGACTGCGAGTGCACTGAAAGGAGTCTGGGGTCTGAGGGACAGTAAGGATGGGTTAATCCCATACAGCGAGCCTACTGTGCTTAACGCGATAGTAAGACGCTAAGAAAAAGCCCAAGCTAACACATCACTCAGATGCGAAAAGGTGCAGGAATCAGTGATGTTGAGGATAAACGTAGTGTCCGACTGAAAAGGTGAGGTTTGGAGAAGGAGAGACGAGCTAGTGACGAGCAGAAACGTTTGTCAGGCACAGGTGGGAGGCTGGGGAGATGCACTGAAAGGCAGCCAGAGCTGGGGAATGGACAAGAGGGGGCAAGGGACTGAAGAACTCAGTGGTAGCAAGAATAGCCAAGCAGGGATTGGGATTACCTGGCTGGGACCTAAACCTCACGATCGGGTCAGGCAGGGCGTGCATGAGCAGCCAAGTGCTGTGGCTCAAAGAACAGGTGGTAACTTGACAATCGCTGAAACACAACGACTTTCAAAAACATGCCTATACCTTAAGAGTCAGGAGTGACGCATGTTCAGTGCTGACAGCGAGCTCTCCTATGCCCTGGAGTGCAATACTTTAAGAAAACAAACAATTGATTGGTTAAGTGTCACGTTAATTCTTACGGAAACAACTTACTGTTGCTTCTCTGGTTTCAAATATCTCACTGGCCTCCTCGAAGTCACACTGCTCTTCTTTGCACTCACGTTCCACAGAGCCTGGCTTGAGCTCCTCCAAAAAAGAGTTTGCCCGCTTCTGGATTTTCAGGACCTGGTTTGCATCTTTGTTGCTGTAAAATACTGGAAGCAAAAACACGAGAGAACAAGCAGGGAACCCTTGGAAGTGTTGTGCGCAGGCTGATGCTTAGTGTGGGATGCTTTCGGACCTGTTGTCTGAGTGAGCACAGTATCACCTTGAGTAACCCACTGCCTGTTTTTCAGCAACGCCAAGTCCTGAGGGGAGTACTGCTGAAATGAGGTGTGAGATGTTTCAGAGCCTCCCCAGTCACGCACAGCAGGACACAATCAGTCAACGCACTGAAAACCCTGGGTGGAAAGCCTGGCCTGCTCCAGAGGTGCCACACAGAAGTCACGGTTCATACGGCTGGAATAAAAGAACTTGAGCAGTAGGTAGTGACTGGTTTTACAAACGCATCTTGAATTGTTGCTGATGAAATTCCTTGGGCTCTACACGATCGCTAGCAACTGCACAGCGCCTCTGCCAAAGGCTGGGTGCTCTACCCCATGTCCACCTGCATTTCTCTCCTAAACAGGTACTACAGGACTTTTAATTTGTGCGCCTGTCCCGTGCCCAGCATGCTACCCTGGAACTGGTAAGTAGTGTTAAAGTTATTACTGGTTTGCGGCACCTGTCTGTGTGGCAGATCTGCTCCAGCGCTGGGTCCGAGGTTCACTCCTGCCAAGGGGCTGTCGGTGCGCTCTGCAGAGTGCTGTTCGGCACCCACTGCCCTGGGCCTGCTGACTGCCAGGCACATCACCCAGGCCCGCTGACTGCCCCTTGCAAAAAGCCAGGAAGATTTGTGCGCTGCAGGGTCTGGCATCAAGAGCTGGGTTTACAGTTAGAGAGGGCGAAGGACCCGACAGCCAAGGCAGGCGAACTGCGCAGGCAGGCTGCCTGGACCCCGTTTCTGGCGGTGTTCTCAGGCAGGCTCGCAGCTGCACAGAGGTGTGCGTCTCCACACGTGACGTTTCATACAGCCATTCGTTTCAGCTCCAAGGCTTACTTGCTTTTTTGTCGGGAACATTTGTACTAGGCAGAGGCTGAGAGAGAGAGCTGGCCGAAAACTGGCAGCGATCCTCCCTGAAGAACACTCTCATCAGCCTAAGAGGCCTTATCCAGCACACCGAGAGAGCTTGCTCTAACAAAGAGGGACTGTCAGTGCTCTGTGTTGCAGGAGCAAGCCTGAGCCGCTGCTCCACAACGCTCTTGCTCAGACAGCTCACGGCGCTCAAAAAGGCAAGGTCCGCGCAGCCATCGTGGCTCGCCACCCAATCTCTGAACCTCTGCTACAAGAATTCAAACCCTTAATGGGAACAATCCAGCTACTCCCTGCCACTGACAGCAGAGGAAATGCACTGGCGGCAACTGGAAGAGGGGGAAGGATCTCTCGCAAACGAGCAACTTACTTGAGGCACCACACACTTGTGAAGAGCAGACAGCCAGCAGCACCCCTACGTTGACGAGCTTCCACATACTGCAGCAGGACTCACCCACGGAAGAAACGGCAGGCACGAAGGGGAGCACCCTGCTGGAGACAGTGTCTATGAAGACAGGTCAGCTAGTTCCTTCACTTATTTTTTCCACAGAGCAGCTCCCTGGCCAAAGGCTGGCGTGCCTTGACTTTCTCTTTGATTTCAGCTCCCAAGCAGCTGCTCACGAGAGGCCCTTCCAGCTTGGTCGGCCAGGTCCCTTCATCCCGTTAACAGCGCTGCCAGAAGGTTTCTTGTCTGCCCCAGCAGCCTCCCCTCGCCCCTGCCATCTTTGACAAGCGTCATGCTTCATTAGAGAAATTTGCACTTTGAAATCCTGAAGGATACAGTACTTTTGAAGCACTTACTGCTTTATTCAGTGCGAGTCAGCGTGATCTATTCTGCCGCCATGAGCTCTGCTGGAAGTTAGTTAATCCATAACTTCAGATATTTACTCTCTGGAGTGACATGAAGCGCTTTCCTTTTAGTCATTAAACAAACAGTGCGCAGGGGGAGCCTGACAATTACCTGCACGCAGGAGAAAAGTGAAACAGCGGAGGCATCCGCTCTGCCTCTTCCACGTCTGGTTTTCTGCTTCTGATTCTCTAGCACACAGCAACGGCTACGCTTAGTCTGTAAGCGGAACCGCGTCAGGGCTGAGGTCCCCGAGGTCCCGCCACCTTCTCACAGCGCTCAGGCACCCCAAAGGAGCACAGCTCGCTCTTTTTAGCGGTCCCCCCCACTTGATTTTCTCCTTAAAGTTTCCACCACAAAACCACCAAGGCAACTAAGGCTCCGTGCGGGCGGGCGCGCGGGCAGACAGGGGCATGCCCTGGCACCCCCCACAGCCCCTGGGGCGAGGGGGCAGGCCAAGGAGCTTGTACCTGTGCGCGGCAGCTTTTGGTCTACTGGATTAGCCCTCGTTAGCACAGTGTCTTCTGTTTCGACTTGGAACATTAACTATTTTAGAGAGGGGAAGAAAAAAATGCAACGTTTCAGAAATTTTCTCACCTCAGAAACGGCACAAACCAGCGCGTTCCCCTTCTCTGCAGGCGGTTCTGCCAGCAGCACCTCCGCGCCCGACTCCATGCAAACTACCTGCGCAGCGGTGGGTCCGTCGGGGTCCCTCGGCGGAGACGGCGCTGCCCCGGCGTCAGGAAAAGCTGGGCCTCCCTGGGGTCTCAGCTCACATCCAGAAACCGTGGGTTTTTTGCAAAAACTATCCTAATATTCAGGAAGAATGACTTGAGTTCTTCATCAGCCCCTGCATTTTGGGGGCCTTTCAATTCCTGCTTTCACATTTCTCCTGCTATCACAGCGCAGAAACATGCATTTTAAAAGCAAACGTTTGGGTTCTCGCATAAACGCATGACTCCAGGAACATGGGATTCACGAAAAGATACCCCAGGATACCCGAAGATGGGCGCAAAGACCTCCCAAATCTCGCAGGCCTGGGAGCAGTATGAATCTAAACCATTACGGCGTCGGGCTCACCGCTTTCTAAGTTCACCGTCTTTAAAAGAACAACGATTTTTCTGAGGATGGCAAGAGGAGCAAACTGAGAAAGTTCAGGAGGTTGGCCAGACAGAGGAGGCTCCCCATCATTTTAATCAGCACTGTAAGAGTTGTGATTCACACGGTATTACGAACAGGCGCTGGTAACCAAAAGGAAAGCACTTCCATAAAGTAAAAAAGGTTCATGGAGCTTTCAAATTTCACAGCTTAAAGATATCCCTCCTTACAACCTGACCTGCAGTTTATTTTTCTCACTTCCCCTGCGTACAAAAAAGCTAAAGCTTCCTCCAAGAAAGGCTTCTGCGAAAGTCTCAGAAGCGCTCTCAGCCTTTAGCTTCTTAGCCAGCAGTGCTGAATCATGCCTCTCAAACTCTTCCAGATTTAAATTGCAATTTAAAATGAAATTTTCCAGAAATTAAAAACTCCAGCTTCTCCCGTCAGGCAACTCGTCTGCGACGGCCAGGAGGGCTGGAGCCGTCCCCTTCCCCGCTCCCCTGAGGGAAAGCCGCAGGCCACCACTGAGGGGCGTTTTACCCTCAAGCCAACAGAAGTGCTGCATCTTTTTAGGTCCTGGGCAGATTCATCCACTTGTTCTTTCCTTGGGAAGCCAGTAAGACTTACTACCTTAAAGGGCATTTGGGAAGTCAGCCAAATGCTTGAACCCTGAAGTTGCTAGAGAACTGCAATATATTCTTTAGCTGTTAACAACACACGGTCTCACCTGTCACGGCCTCAGAACCTCTTCTTCCTGCCCGCAGGAGCGTTAAACGTCCCCAGGCGCCCGAGGCCCAGCCGGCGGGCGCACGGCTACGCGTTTCGGCCACGCACATAGCTACCAGGCAGGGATTTTACCTTATGACTGTGACGCTCCTTTACAGGCGAGGATGACAAGGCTCCTCCTCAACCTGCTCATTTCCAGGGCTGCCCGTCCTGTGAGAGCGGATCGCCTCGACTTCTCGATTCTCCCGATGTTTTAGGCTATGTTAAAAACAAAAGGCCCCCCCCCCCCCGCCAACACCACAGAAGACGAACAACAGCAGAAGTGCTGAGCATTACGATATGTTAAAAATCGCAAGGCAGAAAAAAGCCCCCTCGTTGGTAGCTGAAGACCTTTGCGGCACACCTCCCTTCCAGCCTCTCCACGCCTGCGAGAGCTCAACCACACCAAGGGGGAGGCAGCCCCGAGCAGAGGTCTCGTATCCCAGGAATGAGACGCTGAGCGGGGCAGAGAGTTTCTTGCTATTGGCTTCTGCCACTTAAATGAATGAAGACCAAAATTTAAATGAATTACCTGCATCAGAGGAGCAAACAGACCGTCTCTCTTTCTGCTGTTTCTTCGATAGTTTTCTGTGGGGCTATTTGCTGCAGAGCGTGACATTCAGGTCCAGCGCGAGTACGCGAGCACAGGCCGTTTTTCTTTTCCCCTTGTTATTAAGACTAGGTAACTAGCGTTTTAACGGGGAATTCTACCACTTCTCTCTTGCAACAGTCTATAACACCACTACAGTTTCTTAGGTTCCTGTCAAACACTTTATTCCCTCAGCACAGAGACACAGTAGATTCTCCAGTTCAGCTATCGAGTACAACGGTCTTTTTCACAAGAAAAATATTCACAACGTTTTAAGCTATTTTCCATTGTCTTTGGAATAGTACTGTGAAACTCCATGAGCATGCTCTACGTTCAAAAGTAATCTGCTGAATGTTTCTCGTTAGTATCTTACAAACACGTTGACCTGTACAAACGGAAGGGAAAGCTGATCACAATCTGATCCTATCAGCCCAACATCTCCCAATCTTTTAGTTTCAAGTTTGCAGGTGTCATTTTACAGCAGTTGACTTCTGTCTCATGAGGAAATTCGTTCCTCCCGTGTTTTTGTAAGCACACTTTCATTTATTCCAGTCACTCTATACACTGTCTGCAATAAATTGAAAGCACAGAGGCCCTCGCAGTCCAACGGGAGTAGAGAAACAGCGGTTCCTCTCACTTCAGAGCACGGCACCACTGCGAGCAGAAGATGCTGTCACACCTCAGAGCCCGATGAGAGGTCTACAGGCGCGTGGGAATTGCCCATAAGGAGAAAGAAGAACTAACAAATACCCTGCTGAATTTCAGAGGGGCGTCTTCCCATCTGCCTCTGGTCTGCAGACAGCAGAGCTGTCACCAGAACGAGCAGCAGTAACACCATCAGTGTTAAAGCATCTCTTCTTTTGTTCACTGCGGAGATACAGCTAATAAAAAACTAACTATGTGATGTTTTCTACCCCATGCTAACTACACCAATGTGAAGTACCGCGAATTTAATCTACAATCATGTTTACCGTTGCACTTCCTCAATAAAGCCCTTTCCAAGGCACAGCTCTGAACTTCTGATGCAACCCAGATAAAGCCACTTTATCACAGCACAGATTTTCTCTTCGCGGGTTCCCACCGGCCGGGCACCGCAGCCTTCTCACACAATGGAATCAGTCACAGGGAATCTTTACTGGAAGCTCAGAAACATGTTTACTTTATATACAAGAAAAACGTATTTACAACAATCAACAGTAAACTATGTACAAAAAATACAAGAGACATTTCCATGGTAATCACGGTATAAATTAACATAATAAATAGGAGGGAAGCAGGTCCCATTTTTAAGGCACAAAACCTTCTTCCCAAGACTGTACAGGGATTCAAATGCTCCCCTCTGGTTTTGACAGGATCACAGGAATGGCGGGGACACCCCTGAGGAACAACGGTTGGTGGACGATGATATAGACACACAGTCACTGCTGACAGCTGTAGAAAAACATCATTTTTCATCCTTTCCTTTTTTTTTTCCTTTTCTTTTTACAGTACACACATCTGAACATACAAAAGAGTTAGTGTAAACAGTCCTTTTTTTTTTTTTTTTAAATCACATAGATAGTATGCACATCTTTAAATAATACTAAAACAAGGAACAAAACTTTCCGTACGATTTGGGGACAGAAGCATTCCCAGGACGGGCACGCAAGGCCTCGGCAGGGCTGGAGGCTCCTCCGCGGCCCGGCAGGACAATGCGCCCCAAGCGGCACAGCTCCCCTCCGCTGCCGGCCGGGCCGGGGCTGCAGCTGAATGACGCCCACTGAAAGATCTCAAAAGCTAAACCAGAAAAATCGCGTTAAGAGCCCTCCCTAAGGCAGCCGTGAGCAAAACGCCCCCCATCAGCTGCTTCCCGGGCTGAGCCTCCCTCTCGTCTCCATCGCACGCAATCCCGCCGAACCACATCAGCGTAACACAGCGTAAGCTCTTCCCCAGACCCTGCCATTGAAGGTGAATTTGCAGGGTAGGGCCAGAGCAGGGGATAACATATTGAAAACTATTCCTAGCAGAAGAAACCATACGCCCAGCTCGCTGCAGAAACTGCCCCGTTCCTTTCAAATCACTGCCAAGGGTGATTAAACAGAAGGTGGCCCAAGGCCTTCACACGAGTAGCATTTTTAAACAGACTAAGCGCAGACACAACGCGCGCAGTTCTAGCTTCTCTCAAGCCGGTGTTTTACCTGAGACTGCAGGAGAGTCTCCTCTTTTTTTTGGCAAAGCAGCAGATTTTTTACTGTCCAATCGTTTTTCTCAAGTTTCTCAGCTACCAGAAGAGCAAGCCGGAATAACGCAGCCAGAAGTTTAAGCCGGCTCCCGACTGTGCAGACAGCTCTCGCTGACATTTGACAGAAATAAAGCCTGCGCAACAGAAATCTGTATTCTTCCCAGTGAGACACACAGAGCCACGACCCTTGTGTTAGATATCAACCTTAATACAGATTCAAAGGCACTCAGGTTAATTATAGATCCCACTTTCTAGCTCTTTAAAGAAGGTAGAACCTCCCTCCCCTCCCGCCTTCGGTCAGCGGTAGACAGAAATACACTGGCTACGAACGTTTGGAAAAACGTGCACATGCACAAAAAAGGATTGTGAACATACCAACACGGCAGACAGCAAAAGAAACGAAGATTGGTCTGCGCAGAAATCATCACCTAGAGCAGATGGCTAACGACCTTCAGTCCTCTTCGGATACGGCACGGATTAAGGAACGCCTGAACGTAAGAGCTCTTTCGATTCCCCTGTCTCTCGGCGCAGGGAGAGTAGAGAGGAGCTGTTTCTACTGAGGCAAGAATTAAATTCCCCAGGAATAATCAAGCAAGGCAAGTGCGTATTGTTTATGCACGTTTAAGTCAGGAGGTTCCCCCGGAGAAGCTTCACAGCAAGAACTGCGTTTCCTTCGCAGCGTCAAGGATCGCACACAGATCGCACCCCTTCTCCAGAGCTCTCCCCTGCCTCGTGCTCCCTGCCACGCTCTCCCGAGCGGGCGCACACGTGTGTCCTACGCTCCCGGGGGCCGGGAGCAGCGGCAACTCCTTGTTCCCATTGACGGTGGCTACCGCCTGGAGTCTCCTTAAGCAGAGGCTTCTCCTCAGTCCCATGCAGACGCTGATCAGCGTCTCAACAAGCACGCGGGAAAATACTCTACGCTTACAATTCTTACTTGTCTAACACCCCAGGAATTCAATACAGTGAGGGGGTTCTGCACTGATAAAGAAAAACAAAGAGGGCTATGGAAGCAATCGCTAAGGTACAGAGAGAAGGAATAAACTCAGGGCAAAGCTGAACACTTTTCTTGCTCACTTCTCGTGGCGTTTATACCAGAATATTTGCTAGACCAATCAAACACATTAGTCTTCTGTTAACTACCCATGAGCAAACCCTGCCAGTTGCTAGGCCAAGAGGAGACACGTAGGCAAATGGCAACTAGTTAAAAACAGAGAGAGAGAGTCAGGATAATCCTTGGTGAAATCTTCAAGAATGCGATGGAGCTTACCCAGGATGAAACCAGCCCCCAAAATTTTCTGAAGCAGATGAGCCTTTACATAAAATACCTTTGACTGACCGTTGTTATACTACAGAGCTGACGTCAGCTTGGTAAAATCCTTGCAAATAACAAAGAAAAAAGATGTTCTCAGGGAATTAGCTTTTATGCCACTCTATACATGGCCATTTCTCTGTCTGCATTCACAGCCAGACAAAGGACGCTCTAATAATCATAATAAAAAATAAATACATACAAAACTACCAAGTAATTAAACACTCCTGCTGTCTCTCCAAGCTTTAAAGCACTGAAAGCCCCTGAACTCTCTCTGGAGCGAGAAACACGGCAGTGTAACTATGCACGCTGGTCTCTGGGCTTTAACAGTCACCCAGCTTGGGTCAGGCAATACAGTGGAAATTTGAAGGCCGTCTAGGAACTCTGATTCAGAGGCACTGATTTTTCCATACTTCACTGTTGGTGGCACCACAGACTATTTACCAACACGCCCCAGGTTTTCATCATGATGCTCATCCGCTCTAACAATCCTCCTTCCCTCAGTGCTCTTGCGGGAGCCCTGACGTTCCCCAATGCTTGATCTCTCTGATGGAGTCCAACCCAGGAGGACTGAGCTACCCTGAAGGAGCAAGGCAGCAAGAGAGAGAAAAGCAAGGAGGAAGAGCCACAAGAACCAAGACAGGCGAAAAGATGCAAAAATACGGATAGATTGTATCATTTGCGACAAAAGTAATTTTCTGCACTACAAGTTGAAGCACAGCAACAGCTCTGCTATTTGGGGCCAGGATGGTGGCGCAAAACGGACAGCATGCTGCTCCTTGCTGTTGCCAGTCATGCTGCTTCCCTCCATCAAGGCAGAGAGAGTTGTTTCTTATCTTCGTTTATTACGTTACACTTCTGGCATGGCCCAAACAGCTAGTTAGCGTTCCTCTCCCTTTCACGTGGTCTTCTGAAGATGAATTGAGAAGGGGGAATGTCAGAGCTGCTTTCCTGTAATCTTCTGGCTCTCCAGAATTTTGTCCTTTCTTACCGTCAAGAATTTCTGATCCCTTGTTTGCAATGCCTGAAAATCTAGAGGTTGTACCATTGCCACCGGCCAAAAGAGAAGAGAGCCAGGCCCAGCGGAAGACCACGTGCTGGTGCAAAAGGCTATTTTAACCACATGCATTGTTTGTTGCAAGGCATAAGTGAGAGAGATTCACTGGGTATTCATCGGCAAGAGGAGGTCGGCACTGGCTTTGAATTTCTGATGCAAATCACATGCAATTACAGGTGCGTTAAGGAGGGGATTACGGTAAGACACAAGGACAAGCTTTGTCCACCTTAAGCACTCTTAAGAAACAGGTGTGACATACAGAAGAGTGGGAAAGTTTTGGGTCTGAAAAGACTGCCAGATGCTCCTGAACTAAGACTGGCCAATATATCTTTTGCACTGAATAATTCTACTGTGATGAAATTATCCAGTAAAGGTAGCTGTGTTGCAATTCTCAGGAGTCCTGCACTGTCACTGGAACCAGAACTTCCCACGTCCAAGGACATGGTTCTTCCAACAAGTGAGTTCTCCTCCAGGAGGCTCCGCGGGTATGCAGATAAGGTGCCTCTCGACTGGGTGCAGCTGTACCCCACAGGAAAAAAAGGTAGCACCATGCTTGGTTGATATGAGCTCTGAACAGCTACAGTTTGGCTGTTCAGGAGGGACAGTTGTGAGCACATCTGCTCTGTGAGGTGACTGCCGTGCAGTTACCGGGAATGGTAGACACAGGCTGTGAAAACAGAGGCTAACCCTCGCTGGCAGGAGTATTCCGGCTCAGCTCCTTGATCCCGTGCAGTATCCTCTTCATGTGACCTACTTTGGTCACCCCCAGGTCCTGCAAGAAAAGAGAAAATCCTACCTTAGGAGAAAGGGGGAAAAACAAGCAGCCAAGGTTGCCAAGCAGCTGTTACAAACTAGTCAGACAGTTGCAAAGAGAGAAGGAACCAACCAGAAAGGTAACAGACCTGACGGTTAAATATGGAACCTCAAACCATGTGTCAAAAATCTATCAGAGCATGACAGAGTAATGAAGAGTCACATGAGGAGCAGGTGCAAAGCAACGGCAAGAAACAACTAGAGACCGTCAGCCAGAAATGCAATTCGCTTTGACTGTTAAAGGCCAAAGCATAAGAACAGAGAGAACAAAGATCACAAAGATCTAAGCTGGTAGCCAAGCACATGCAGAACACAGCCTGTCACTGGTCACATCAAATAAACGTGTGAACACTCGGGTACCATGCAACAAAACACGCACAGTAACTGGATGGCATGCAGAGGAATCAGCTACACAGATTACAGTGAAACGCAGAACAGGAAGCTGGTCCAAGTCACAAATGAAGATCCAAGGGGCGTTCAATGAACGCCACACAGCACTTTAAGGTACAATATTTTTCTACTCTGTGCAAGTCACTAGAACGATCACAAGTTCTTGTACATGCAAAGAACCACCATTTTTAATTTCCCTCTGCAGAGAGGGCATCTCCCGATGAGGAGATGAAAAGCTGAGCAACATGGTTACTATTTCAAAAGACTATCTCCATCCAACAGCCTCATCTAAGACCACGAACGTTTTTTTTTGGTAACAAAGAAGTGCAATGATCTTTTTGTTCAGTGACTACAACACAAGACCCAGCGTGTTCTGCAAAGATGGTACAGGAGCTGAGAAGCTGAAAACTTCCATTCCATCATTCAAGTCAGAGTGTCTCAAGAGCACTAACTACAATCTGTGTGCTGGACTGTTATTACAACTACAGGCACCTGCGCCTGAGCTGACAGCCAGTCTCTGAACTAGCTGGTCTACTTCCCTGCTATTAAACATCAAGTGACATGAAACGGTGAGAAAACAAAATGAGGCTGCAATGAACCCGTTCATCTTGCCGAGGCACGTGGAATGAACAGTGGCAGACCATTTCCAAGCACATTCAGCACAGAAGGTCATGCAGATGCAGCTGGCTATTTCTGATCATGAAAGTACCTTGAGGTCCCTCCGTTCGAGGTGCAGGAGCTCAGAGCCCCGGACGTCATGCCGGATGAAGATATCCTTATACTCACAAAGACTGAGATGCTCAAGCCAGGCCGCAACCTCCTCCGTTCCCCATAGGTGAACTGTTAGAGATGGAAAAGCAGGAGTGCATTGAGTACCCAGAATCCCAGAAGACAGAGAGCGAGAGAGATGAGGACACCATCAGCACTCAGTGCCAGAGAAGGAGGGCAAGCGGTACCACAGCCTCAAACCAAGGGGAGGGCAAGGACTGGTAACACAGCCTACAATCTCAAATAAAGGAGGTAGGGCAGATTAAGATTCCAGTTATTCTCTTAAACAGAGGCTAGCTGCAGTGAATCCAGGAGTAAGTATGTTTGTTTTGATGGGCTTTTTAAAGTTTACGCCCACGTCTAGCAGTAAATTCTCTGATATTCCTCTGCTTACAGAACAACACAGAGTCATAAAATACATCACTGGGAACCAAGCATGTGTTAGTTCACTATTACGTGCAAGCACTTGTGCTCAGTAAGCAAAATGGCAACCTCTCTTCCTACAGTCTAAGGGAGAGAGGAAGAGTGCCAGTTTCTCGCACAGCCTCTAAGTAAGAGAAAAATAAAGTTCCCACGTTCTGGGAGGCAATAAGAGCGCACCAATGCGTCAGACAGGAGGAGACCGTACCCACAATTCCATGGCAGAGGACAGGACCCAGGAGCCCACAGAACAGCCAGTACTTCTGAATTTTGGAAGCAGAAAGGCTTCATAAACAGAATATATACCAAAATCAACTAACCCAATTGGAGAGAAAGTGTCTTGATATCACTGGCAATTTGTTGATTCATGGCCAGATTTTATCTACTGACCAGTAGGATTAAAGGTCAGGGTGCACCTGTGGTGATGCTGATCCCCAGCCAATTAGACATGAAACTTGATTAATGCCTGAGGGTGAATCAATGAGAAAAATATCATTAACCATATCACAGAGAACGCGCAGTGAAAAGATTGGAGTTATGCGGACTTGGGCCCCACAGTCATTTTCATGCCTAAAATGTTGAAATCCTCAAATTCACTTCACTAAGTACCCCCTAAAATATCCCAGAAAACGTCCACATATAAGCGGGATTCTTCAGAGGGTGCCTCCTGTTTCTGCTCAGGAATATCTGCTTAGTCCTGGGGATTATGACTCAGACAAAACAGAGCAATAAGCTACTTTGCCATGTGAAAAAGACAGACTAGACCTCTCAGAAAGGCAGACGGAAGTGACACAGAAGAGGGACAGAACATGAGAGGAAACAGACAGGCAGAAAGAGAATGGGTAGTGGTGTGACCACTCCGGTGTGATGAACAGAGACACCATGAATGAGCAGACTTGGTACCCGGCAATCCCATGCTACTATGAGTCTCCTTATTTTTGTTGTTCTTCTCCTTTTTAAACTTGGTCACCAGCCGAAATTTGCCACTGCGGCTGCGTTTAGAATAATCCAGCATCTGGTTCTGTAGGAACACAAAAGGAAAAATCATGCCACCAGTCAAAAATTCACTGGAACGGTCCGAGAGCAACAAGTACTGTCTAATTTAGCTCTACGACCTTGTAAGAGAGGAGAAAAATTCTCAACTCTTTCTGATCAGGATAGGGAAGGAAACAGAGAAAGTTGATCCCATGTCAGTCAAGGGACCTTAGCAGGAAACTACTTTCTTTGACCACAGGGAGCTGAGTTTCCTTCTTAATGAATTCTTCTTGCATCTGCTGCATACTCACAGGAAGTGAAACATTCACAGCCAACTAGTGAAAAAGAGAATAGCCAGGGAAACAGAGCCTTGGCCCTCCTCACCTCCTCATCACAGGGCTCCATGAGCTGCCACAGCCAAGGGATGTCTGCCAGCTTCCTCAGCTGGAGGTCCATGTCTGCCAGGGCGGCTTGGAGCTGCTCCTTCTGTGGAGGATCCAATTGCTGGAATTGCAGAAGTGGAAACAGAGCAGAGTTAAAAGCCGCATGGTGGAACACACAGACAGTCAGGCCCTTCCCTGGAAATTCCTAGCTAACAAAGCAGCTCCTCCTTTAAAAAAGGAAGCGCACAACAGGCACTCTGCCCAGACGTTACCAAGTTAAACTCATCTTTTCTGAGTCCCAACTCTGCGCAAAGTAGCATGACTGCCCATCATACCTGTGTAGCAACACCATCCTAACCCTCCTAATTCCTGGAACCATAACATTTAAATTGACTTGTTATAAAGACCAAGACCAGCAAGATGTTGCTTGCCAAGGCCAAAGCAGAAGAGGAGAGGAAGCCAGAGGCTGCTTTACTCCTACTTTGTGCGTCTTACCAGTGCCATCTTGCCTGCCAGCAGCAGCTCTGTCTCATTATGCAGGGCTTTGACATTATTCACCATCTCCACAACAAGGCTGCAGTTCAGACCCTGTGGGGAAGCAACACATGCACAAATAAAGCCTGGAAATGCAGAAGTCTGAGCGCTCAAAAGGAAGAAGTCTTAGAGAAGCAAGGCCTACTTCTGGTCAATCAGAAAGGAGAACCAAGAGCTATGGCACAAGAACAAAACGGGAGATGCCAAGTGAGTGAAGTACCTCTGTAGACTTGGATTTAGCGTAGACTTTGTCCATAGACTTGGAGCTGGCATTGACAGCATGGGCAAGCTCCTGTTCCATGTCCTGATAGGATTGTGCTATTTCCCGAATGCTAAAGAGAGAATTACAGATTGCATCAGCATACGCTCAAGGTAGGAGATCTTTTTTGACTGCATATCTCCTTTTAATACCCATCTGAGTGACAAGAGCAGGGATACGGCCCGGGAGGAGCACAGCCTTCAGCAAAGCAGGGCAATTCTGCCTGCTGTAGTGAGCATGCGTAGGCAAAGCAGGGCAGACCGCACACGTACAACTCCAGGTGCATGTTCAGTTCTGCATATGAGTTGGGATCAGTTTAAAACATGACCTAGAAATTTTAGTATGACCACTGCGATCGGAAAGGCAGCTGCACACACAGCAGTTTAATGAATGCTTCCTTGACGTGATTCTGGGCGTTTCCTCTTAACGGCCCAGACCGTGGAGCAAGATGCCCAAATAAAGGATGAGCAGAGGAGCATACAGTGACTTGTTTCCAAAATCTCTGCCAAGCATCAGGGTTGAAAGTCCCTACGTTGTCATCTGAGCTCCCAGTGAGGACTCTGTTTCATTCCTGATAAAACTCACTGATAGTCAAAGCTACTGGGTTCTTTAGAGATTAAGGCATCCACGTTTGCTCACGAAAGTATTAGTTTTGATTCAGAATGACCCATAAAAGTTTGTTTGACTTCAGTCTTCATGCAGCTGGGATAGCGCATAGCAAAAGAACGCTGCTGCCAGTGACATGGACCAGCACTGCAGCAGATAAGACTGAACAGAAAACTTCACCAGGAACAGGGAGTAGGACAAGAACTTGAGGCACCAAAGGAGGGCTCTGTCTGCAAAAAGGAAATTGGGAGTCCCACCTGTGGATCAGAGCACCTGCAGCCTGGCCAAACCGGTTGATCTGGGTAGACTCTTCTTCAGACATGATCTCTGGTTGCAGAGAGAAAGAGGAGGGTCGGGACAACTCACACTTCTGTTTGTCCTCCCAGGACTTCAGGGTGCTCTCAAATGCCTAAAAACACAGCAAGCAAACTCTAAGATACCTTGTAAATCTAGGGGGAAAAAAAAATGCCTGTAAATGCAGCCCGTGGAGCATGCAGGGCTGGTATGAGCGCTTCTCTTTGCTGAACCTGGCCATTCAGCTGCTTGTGAGTTTGCTAACTTCAGGCACCTGGGCTGAAGCTTTCAATGCTTACCTTGGATTAATTTCTGCTTAAGCCTAATTTTAGTCAAAGTGGTTAGGCCACTTCTGAGAGACAGACCAGCAAAATCCACCAATTCGTTATTGGTGGCAAACTTTTCTTTGACTAGCTGTATCACCCATCGACGCTCTCGAGCAGAAATCTTAAACTTGACATTTGCCCAAGAGGTCAAGTCTGTTGCTCAGTCAAAATCCACCCAGTTTGGCACATTACACGTTTTGGGGGAGGGAGGGGACAGTGAAGAACGTATTGCTGCACACCTCTTCTCTGCATGACCTCTTCAGAGCTGGAAATTAAAAATGTTCAAGACTCCTCCTCATTCAGGAGGACTTCTCCAGAAATTGGTCAGGTTAGCATCCAAACTCAGAGCTGGGACCTGCCCCACCTGCACCCTTACTGATACGACTGCTGGCATCAGCTAGTGCTACAGGAAGAAGCAACACAGATCCAATGCAAAAAGGATCAAAACTAGATATGGTGAGAATGAGAACAGAAACACAGAGCCTCAGGACAAGGAGAAACGGATTAATGAGCGCAAGAAATGCAAAGAGGGAAGCCTCGACAAGAGAAGGGGCTATGGCAGGGGAAGACTGAAATAGGAAGAGGAATTCGGAGAAGATGATGAGGACAACGAGTAAGAGCATGGAGCATTCATGGAAAAATTGATGCTCAGTGAGCCATAAAAGGAAAGGAGATCGGCTGTGATGGGGGAGCAGGAACGGTAGTGGCCTGGGAAGTCAAATGAAATGAGTATAGACTAGGTAAGGAGCGCAGGACTAAGGGGGATGGAGCAGAAGAGCCAGTGTCTACTAGAACAACACTGCCCAGAGGAAAAAACAAAGTTTTGGGGACACATCATTCTTCTGAGACTGAAAAAACCTCTAAAGCCCTGTGGTAAAGCAAATCACTTTCCCTGCTGCTACACAAAACCAGACTGTCAGCTTTGTACAAGCTATCCACTGATTTCAACCTTGCTGATGACTCTTTAGTGGTCCAGATGAGGCCACATGGGGGAATTTGGAGTTTCTTCCATCTTAAACTAAGGAAACTAAATACCCCAAACAACTTTAGAAGAACGTTATGGAAGATATAGGGTCACGCACTCAAAAAGAGGATCCCACTTCGTTTCCTGCATAGCACAGACTGGCTCTGAGAAGGAAAGGGTGTGCAGTGATGATCAAAAAGGACAGCAGGAAAGATGAGGATAAGCCTGTGTTGAAGATGACAGCTGAATGCTGTTCTCCAAAACTGGAATCTGTTCCTCGCTGGCAATAGCCTGCCTGCAGAACAGGGTTTGCAGGCAAGGAGGAGCAGAGGGGCACAAGCACAGCCACGGCTTCGGCCGGCCCAGCACACACAGCACGCTCGCTAGGGACTTGCGTGTCCCTCAGATTTCCTTATCTAACTCTTACGCTTCCCTCTGTCCTTCCCACTGTACCCACAGGTAGGCTGCCTCTCCTTTTCTCCCTCCCACTTTCACAGCAGGATCTCTGTTCCACTGATGCTGGCTCTCTGGGTCAATTCCTTCAGTCACCTCCCCAGGATGCAGTCTGACACTGCAAAAGCTCTCTATCCCTCCATTTCTTTCTCCGTGTGAAAGACTGTGCTCGTTACTCCTTTCTCCTCTTCTCCCTAACACACACACCAATATCCTCTGTTCTCTCCCAGCTGGTGGGGTCTTGGGTATTCCCTTGTCCGTGACAAGGGCTTTGTAACCCCCAGCCTTTGCTTCTACCTACCATTGTATTTCCAGCTTCCTGCCAGGCAATGCCCCTCATGCCTATCTCTATCATGCTATTTTCCCTTTTTTCCCCTCTCTGGTGTTCTCTGCTTCTGTTATTTGGAAGATGAGTCCTTGGCAGAAGGACTTCAGTGCGCTCTGCAAGCTGGGTAAAGGAGTGTTTATGCTGGAAAGTATTAAGAACTGCTATCAACCCAACTGCTGATTCATGGACAGTAGCAGAGTTAGGAGAAACCATAAAGCCTGTCTCTGCCACAGCAAGGCGTCTATCCTTTCCTTTGGCTTCCCACCGTTCAGTAATACAGTAAAATGGCAAGAACAACTTCCTTATGTATTGGTACTGATCAGATATAATTGAAAGTTATGAGAAGAGACGGACGCACACTGCTGAACGGGGCATGAGATACTGCTTTGCTTGGTCAGCGAGGTATAAGCCACATACTGAACAATGAAGAGAAATTAAAGTATTCAAGAGCTGAATCTAAACAAACTGCAGCACTCAGCAAGGCAGGCATCCTGTGGGAAAAAGCATGCAAGCACGTTAAGAAACACTGTTTCACAAGGCACCTAGAAAAGGGAGCTAAATACATTTGCAAAAATCACCTCAATTATGTTATTTCCCCAGTAGTGAAGGCAAGTTTAACCTTATTCTTTCAAGAAGTTCTCAGGTGCGTAGTAAAACTATACTCTTTACATCCACAAAGATAAGCTTTCATGTAGCCTAGATTAAGCCAGTGCCACACTCTCTGGGAATATATGGTATCAAAACACCTGTGTGTACTATACAGTGCATCTAAGGCTGCTCTTACCCTATCTCGGGTCAGTGTCTGTGCCCTGTTCTTGTGAACAATCCAAATATAACCTGGAGGTTGGATCCAGGCTTCTCCATCCACTTGTACAGGAACTCCCTCTTCTCCCAGGATTGCTATCTTCACAGTCCGACACTGCAAAGAATGATTGCATTAGAGAAGCTCTCAAATGTTGGTTTTCACAACCCACGAGCTGGTCGCTTTCTATCCACAGCACTTCCCCAGGTACTGTAGCTTTGTTGCTACTAGAGCCACACATGCCTAAGTGGCAGGGTAGGCCTCATCCTTGCGCAGCAGGGACCACGCGTTGAGTCTCTGGACAAATCTGTATGTACGTTGCTGCAGTCTAACTCCCACCACAGTGAACACTAGCAAACAATTCCATGCCCCAAGAGCCCCTGAACATGCTCATTTTCAGCCCTGCTGGATGGTCCTCCATGGACAAGAGAGAGCACAAAGGAGGGCTGTACTGACTGAAAGCAGCAACAACTTCACAAGCTGGAGACGGGGGAGGCAAGAAGAGCTCACAAAAGCAGTTGATACCTGTGCAATCCGGTGATGCTGCAGATTTATCACTCGTGACACTGCCATCTGCATGCTACCAAACACTGCTACCACCTCCAAAATCTTGTCATCAAAGGAGGGGGCTGTAAATGTCTGCCAGATACAAGGGAGAGAGAATTCAGTTCATGTACAGAGGTTTCCTTTCCTGCCTATGGGCGGAGATTTGGTCCTCAGCTTTCATTTGTACTATTTATTCCGTATAAAATTAACAATGAGGCTAAAAGGTGAAGATTCGCAGTGACCTAGGAAGGAGAAAAAGCAGCCTCGATATTCCCACTGTGCTTCCACTGGCAGCTAAAGTATAATCCAAATAAAAAGCCTGTAGGCCACAAGGGAGCATTTATTCTTATGAGAGTAGGCATTTATTCTTTTTCCTTAAATGAGGAAATGTTTTTGACTAGATCTAACCCCCTTTGCCTTCAAGGGGCTTTACCCTCAGGCTTTCTAGGGTCTAAAGCCCTCCCTAGAGGTCCAAACGCCCAGGACAGCGTCTGGTTTCTTTCTGAATCACTACAGTTTGCACGGGTGCAAAGCTGCTGAAGGCTGGCTTTTCAGTACCCTATCCGTTTCAGAGAGAAACTACATGCAAACACGCTCCCAGCCCTCTTCTTCCAAGCACAGTTCTTGGAGACTATGACTCCAGAAGCAACAGTAAGTAAAAGCGTTTCTTGCATTGCTTTACAGAATACTTACATCATCTTCCTTGGTACCCCCCCAGAAGTTTGTGCCTCCTGCGTAGCTGGGAATGTTGAGTACAGCGATTCCCTGGAGACTGGGCAAAGGGATCGGCCTCCCATCACACTATACAGAACAGAAGACACCCTTACTCAGCACAGATGAAACTCAGCACAGCAGGAGAAAGCCCCTCCAGCCACAGTACTTGCTCTAAGAACACAAAAGAGCCTGCACAACTTAGTGAATAAATTAATTCAGACATCTACAGTTCCTTCTTGGTGCCAAAGAGTAGAAGAACGTATCCATTCATGTCTCACGAACCACCTCTTCTTTGGCAGAGGTGGGTTTTAGAGAGATGCTATTGCTTCTTTCCCCTAAAAAGGAACGGGGCACACCTGAGAGGCTCAGCAGCACCTTTTGCTTTACTCCTCCGAAGAGGGGGATGAAACTTCTGAAACACCGTGCAGTCTGCTGTGACAACGGTCTCCTCCTGCAAACTGCCTGCTTATGCCGTAGGTGGGCCATACAAGAATATTTCCTTTCCAGTTTGATCCACATTATAGCGTAGTTAAATTAACAGCTCTCCACTGCACCTACTGTCTAAAATGTTGTGTTCACATGAGATGCCACAAGAATCTCGTCTCTGTTGAATGCTGAGTTTGGGATAGCTAATATTTTCTAACAGGATGAAACTTACTTGCATCCTCAAAACACGAAGGATCTTCCAGCACCAGGAGAAGCTACTTCTAGCTAGCTCAGGGCGAGATACAATAATTTTGCAGGCAAGGGAAACACTAATGTCAGAAAGTAGTATCACCATGTCAAGGTCAAAGCGTGTGAAGGAAATGCAGTTAGGTACCCCAGTTTTAGCAGCAGAAGCACATGCTAAAATTCCTCACCTCCAGCAAGACTTTCTGCTCCAGGTTTTTATATGTTCTGTGTAGCAGCTCCTTTGTCCCTAATACTCCGTACCACATCATGTTTTTAGTACGACTTCTAAGGGGACAAAACAAACGAGAAAAAGTCAGCATAAAGCATCTACCCTCTCATTTACGGGGAAAAAACATTTGAAAAGGTACCTCCCTACACCCTACGACACAAACGTGCTTTCCTTCCAAAAGGAAGGAGCCCTCAAAATGGTCATCCCTTGTACTAAGAAACTATTACCCTTGAAAAATAGTCAGATAGGAATTGAGGGCAAGTGACTAACACAAATCACCAGAAACATCCACAGATTCCCCTAGCACAGGGCTGGTCAGTCTCACACACCAGGACATCAACAGTGTTTCGAAATATTTGCACAAGTATAGCAAACGTATCGGTCCCAGGCTACACAAAGGATCCTACAGTTGCCCAGGCATTCACAAGGCCTACGCGACTGATACAGTAGTTTATATGAAGTTAGGATCAAGGACGAAATTGGCCTCCCTGGCATTTCGAGAGCTGAGATGTGATTCTCTTGTAGCTAAAGAGCGGGCACAAGAAAAAAACCTGAGTGAGATCATGAAGTCAGTAGAACCAACGCGCTGAATCCACGTTGGTGTAGCTATTCAAAGCTCTTATACTCTCCACCCGGCATAATGAATCAGTAACAAACCAGTAACTTATCTCCTTCATCAAGTCTCCTTAAAAGAGGATCATACAGACAAGATTGATGATACGTCTGTCCAGCACACTTTCAACACGATCAGCTTCGGAACAGCACAGAAACATCAACTGGTTTCAGTCACTTCTGACAGTAGCCCAAGGCAAGCCAAAGCCATAAACCCACCTGCATTTCTCTGGGTGCTCATCACGTTTGTTGTTGAAGTCCAGAGAAATCTTTGCATCCAGTCCAATTCCAAAGTAATTATTCATGACACATTTCTCTGTGTAACATTCACTGCCAAACAAAAAGAACAATCTCCCATTCTTAAGTTTACATACCATTTAGTATACACCTCACGTGACCCTTCGGCCACCTTGTAACTGCTTTGCAGAAAAAGGTGAAGAACAGAAAGGCTATACGCCAACAAGATCAAACAAGCACAGCTGTCAACTGCCTAAACCCTGCAAGGAGCACGGTAAAAGTGGCTATTGAGCAGAAACCCCCAGCTCGCAGCCTCTGTTCCCTAACACTTCACAGCCACAAGATTTGTGGAGGAATTTTCTGCTTGCCACAGAAACATATTCAGAGGCCTACGCTTAGTTTACAGAAAGCCAACTTTCCCGGTCACTGCGGTTACGTAAAAGGCCTCTCAAAACATGAGCAGTGCTTATACAAGGTGCTACCTACAGAGAGCCTGACAAGTGAGCTCAAAAATGTCAACTACTCATCTCAGTGGCACTAAGCCCCATAAAAATCACTTGAGTCAATACCACCGAGTTTTTACTGTTAAACAGTTCAGCACAAACGTTTTGAGAATGAGCTTACATCATATTTCCCAACCATCTTCCCTATTGTGGTCCGCCCACGAGCTTTCTTTGCCTTCCATACTGTAGGTTGCTGTTCTGCCACAAGCTATCACTCACGAACTGGAAACTGGAGTCACCTCTGAGTGTAGGGAGAAAACTGATCTGGATTTCATTCTGTCACCAAAGCCTAAAAACCCTCTACAATGAATCAGATGCCTCACTGCATGTTTAACTACATGAGCTGATCCTCACTGACACCCAGCATATGAGAATTCATTTACATTATCTCTGGGCTGCTGCCCAGAGCCATTATTTAGCTCTCCAAACAAATCTGCAACGTACTGATGTCGAGGTTCATTTGGAAACACCCACTCTCTTCAACATCCTGGGCATACTCACAGATTTTCAGGCTCAGAGTTAAAGGGATCAGCATGAATCAATAACCGGCTGATGACAGAGCTCCCAGGCAAAGAGCCAGACATGCCAGCACGGATATCTGTGGAAAAAGCCACAATGGGGAAGAGCGTGATGACAATAAGCAGAAAACAGGAAGTTTCAATCTCAGAGACAAGCCGACATTAACTCCGGTCTTTCACCGACCAAGGCAACGACCAAAACCATATGCCAAACGCTAGTCTTAGGGCTGACTCTTAGAGGAGGTCAAATCCATACTTGAAATAAAATCACTACTTTTAATCATATCAAAAGGAAGAAAAACCTTTTTTTTTTTTTTTTTGGAAAGCAAACAAGCAGTAAGTGCTCTCTTCTACTCCAGAAGGCTTAGCACTCTCCATAAGGAAAAAGGGTTCCTGGGGTTGCCTGCAGTGTCTCCGAGTGACAGGATATCGCCTAAGGACAGCAGCACAGTTGTAGACATGTGTGGATGGGAAGCGAGAGCGCATTCACTACAGTAGCTGTTCTGCTCCAAGGTGAGATAATGCAACATCCTTACTTCACCGAGCAGGACAGGAGAAGAATGGGGCTAACGTTATACTCCAAGTTGCTCAAGAATTACTGCCTTCTACTTCTTAGATTATTAGCTGGCAACCCACAAACATTGGCTTCTTCAGAGAAGTAGGAAACCACCTGTTCCTGGAAGGAACAATGTGAATAAGTAACATGGTGGGGAAGAGGTGGAAGGACAGCACCACAGTGACAGGGAAAGACAATGCGTGAAGGGGGAACTCTGCCGGGTCCATGCAGCCTGAGTAACTTCAGCCTTCCCGTAAAGGGACTGCTGCTCCCAGTCTATGGCTGCCACTCTTCAAAAATCTCTCTTGGCAGCCTGGCATCCTATCAGCCTTCTTAAGGTTACTTTGCGCTCAGTATCTCCTTGTAATTGATATCTAAATTCTGTCACTGCCCTGCATTAATAAAAATCTGCATCTAGGTCTCAGCTTCAGCTTGGAAACTATTACAACTCCCTCCAAGTCTCCACTGTTCAGTCCTAGTGGAAAGTTATCCTTAAAGGATTTCTCTCCAATTGGACCTGCACAGAAGGACACCAGACAGAACAAGTTCATGTTTTTGTATGGAGACTTTAGGCTGTGCTGCTGTCACCCACAGTCCAGTTGGCTGCTTGAATGGGAAGTGGTGGGTGTTACACTCACTCGGGTAGATGATCTTTGTGTTCAGCATTGGCAAGTTGTCCCGGTTTCCTGTCTGGGGAGGAAGAGACGCAGAGCTGCCCAGCGACAAACTTCCTTTGTTTATTAGTCTTTCGCAAGGAGACTTGGACACTGTAAAATACCACACAAACATCGCTATTGACAAACATAGCCTGCGACCAGCACAAAGCAGCACAGCCCAAGCAGCAAGACCGGGTTAGGAATCACTCAACAACAAAACACTCTAGCCACACCATAAAACAAAGAGCTGACAGAACCAGTCATTAAGGGTCAGAGATGTGGCATACGTGCAGCCAGTGCAGTCAGAAAAGCTCACAAATTGGAGGCACAGAAATGTCATATGCAAATATCAGAAACGGAGATGAGAAAAAGCTGGTGCCAGCAGCACAATAGGCAGGCTATTTGGCTCCCAGTCCATACCCAGCTAAGTTCCAAATATACTTGCAGCGATCATGGATCGCTAACAAATTACTTACTTAACATGGTTATTAAAGCAAACTGCCTTCCATTCTCTGTCATCTGCAATGGATGGCAAGGAGCTTAGAGGGAAATGTCAACAAGCAGATGACATGAAAAATGCTCAAGACCATCCTTGTCCAGGCACTGAAAGCCAAGAAACCTAGATTACTGGCTAACTTATGAGAAAATCTCAGAATCCTAAATTCCATGTGCTAACATCACAGAGCAGCTGTCAAAGGATGTGAAAAATGGGCTGCGTGATGCACAGGCTTGAGCCCAGAGAACGCGCAGGACATGGCATCTGAGGTGAAGAACAATCATCCAAAAAATTAGAGAAAAACAGAACTTGGAAGGTAATGCGCATAACACCTCCCCCACATTCCCACGACAAACAGAACTGCTGTTTGCTCCACGCTGATCTGCATGGTAGCGGCCCCAGAGCGGTACCTTTCCGCTGGCTCCTCCCTTTGGGCACTCCGTAGCCGCCGCTGTGTGATGACTGCAGGGAGATTTTGTCCTCGTTCCTCAGCTCCTTGCCCTCTTCAGAGGTCGAGAGACTGAGGATGAAGCCCTCTTGCTCCTGGGTCTGGGCATTCTGCTCATCCACAGCTATACGGAGAGAGAAAACAGATGAGTACCCCACAGCTCTGGCAGCAAGAAACACCTCCCATTCACACAAATAACGATAGGACGGGACTCTAAAGGGCCTGACTCCTTATAGCAATGAATGGGAATAACTGAAAGCATTCCTATGCCATTTATCTCAGCTAAACCCTGCTCTGGAGAGCTTTAGGACCTGGGCTGGCTTAGCGTCCAGTTCTCCTTGCTGAGGTCTTTAGCAGTAAAGGCTCTGAATAAAAGTGCGCAACTGTAATGTCAGTGGTAGTCAGGTCGAGATGTGATCTGTGCTACAGGTGACGGCCTTCCATTTATTTGCATTTAGATAGCCCCAGAAATTCTAACCAGACGGGCGTTAAAGATAAATTAAACTGGATGTCTGTTTGCTTGATCTGTACTGGTACAATAGGATAAGTCATTTGAAAAGGACACTTAGACACAAATAATCAGGAGGGAGAAAAAAAGCAGTTGGTAAAAAACATTACAAACAAAGGAAAGAATCAGATTACATACTTTGGAAGAAGAAAAGCAGTTTGGAGAAGTTAAACAAATACATCTGAAACATAACTGGAGTTTGCCCAAGAATCAAATGTCAGCATGTTGCCTAAAGAAATCAAAACTTCCTTTCCATGTAAGCAACAGGCCTTCCTCCCTGGCAGCCCCTCGCAGGGTGCATTTCTGCGAGCAGCCCTGAGCTGATCTACCAGCTCACTGTTTCTGAAGGGGGACGATCCTCCTTCTCTTGCAGTCTTTTCCCCTCCGTCACGAGGGCTCTGGAGTTCATCAGAAGTATCCACAAAGCAATCCAACCACTGACCCAGCATAAACTAAACTCTTCTTGCTGGATTAATCAAATTGGTTGGGCTCCTGAAGGACTCCAGCAAGCACCAAACCAGCATAAGGTAAGCAGCAGCAAAGTGGGGCTGGCAGTGAGGTCAGGGCCAACATCAGCAACAACCTGTTAGTTCTGCTCGCATCATCTCACAACTTCACCTTCAGGACAGCTTGTACATGTAGTTCTGGAAATCCAAGTAACATTGCAGTGACCTATAACTTACGACATAGTTGTTCTTCACAGCGCATATTTGGGTGTGCATTGATATCGCATCTCCGACTTCGGTGCTTTTATGTCGAGTAATATGCTGTTAAAATCATTCCTTTGGTATAAGTTAAACCACACTGAGTTAATGACTAACATCTGGGAGACTGATGCCTTTGGAAGGAAATTAAACTTTGAGCTATGGGTGTGAGTGGCTGGAGAGAGATAAAAAGGGCTAAGATGTAGAAAAGGGGGTCAACCTAGCTAGGAAGTTAATGCAGGAAAAGAATTGATTTGCATCAAAATGCAGTATTATAAATATTTTCCCAGTAACAAAGCCAGTTTAAGAAGTTCCTGCTCTCTCCTGCCTCTGTGCTACAGTTCATTGCCCTTTCAGTTGTACCACTGCACTGTTTTGTTAGGCTGCACTATAAAGAGATTTCTGAAACAATCCAAGTCAAAATACTTAAAATACTTTCTTCCCAAGTATTTTCAGATCTGTTTTACACCAAGGCCACACAAACAGTTGCACTGACACAACTGTGGTTTGGGTGGGGACAGACAGCAAATAGAAACGAACCGAGTGTAGAAGGGCAGTAACTTCCTAAACCAGCCCGATGGGAGAGAACATACCTTGAACTTCAGGCTCAGTCATGAAGCAATGTTTCAAACAGGTGAGCTTGGCAGAGCTGATACTGAGCTAGATATGCAAGCTTACTGAATAACTTTCCTCCAGCTCAGGAAAGCTGTTGTTTAATAAAGACTCCTACTCCCCTCCGGAATAAAGGAAATGCATATTTCTCAAGAGCACGTAACAAGCCACAAGCAGGACTCCTAACAGAGTACCTTTTTCTGCATGCTCTATAATCTGACGGATGGCTTTTTTCAGGCTGTTGGCTCTCAACATGAGCTGTTCCCGGGGGCGAAATATCTGGGGCCGTGCAGTACATGATGAGCCCACTGACCGGTCACTAGAAGAATCACAAGCACTGCCTGACCCATCACCATCTTCTGTTTCCTCTGCAATGGTGGGAGGAGGGTTTGGCAGAGATGAAGATGCTTGAGATTCATCGTTCAGTGTCTTCAACAGGGAGTCCAGCTTCTCCTTCAGGACAGAGCACTACAAGGCAAAGAAAAAGGTTGGGCAAAACTAACAGAGTGGAACCGGGTAGCTCATTCTTGTAGTGCCGGCTGAACTGCTGCTGTCCTGGTTCTGTGAAAACAGCAGTTTTTCCACTTCAAACGTGGAAAGATGTGCAACCTCTCCAATTTACCTTTCTAGCCATGACCTCTGATTCCTCGGAGCTTTCTGTTGCTTTCTCATAGGCCTTCCCTACTCGAGCCACAAAATCCTTCACTGTCTCACAAAGCACCCTAGACAAAGAAGGTAGGGAAAATACAGTCACACAAGGATTGTCTCAGGACTTTCACAGTGTAACTTTCACTCAGAGTGGTTTTCCTGTAAGTACTCACTTGGCTGAGGAGATGACCACTGAGTGTTGGTCAGAAGTCAAAATTTTAGACAAATGAGCAGCCACAGAGTCTTCATAGAAGAGAATCTTCTGCACCTGGTGACATTCAGGAACAAGCCACTGGAATGCTGCTTCCCCACTCTACGACATATACTATGAATCCCTGGCTCCCCAGCGAGTATCTATCACTCCTCTAGCTTCTTTTCGGTCTGGAAAAATTTTGTGATTCAGGGCTCAGTTACCCACTGAAGACTTGAATCTGATGAAGAAACTAGGAATCATCAGCAGTTCAGATCTTAGAGTCTCTGATCAACTAGGGATCTAAAACACGGGGCTTTTAGGGTTCCTGTGACTGCTATGCAGCTTTCCACAGTTTCACCAACGTGATGTCATGTTAGCAGAGAAAAGTCAATCACTTTCCTGTCAGATCTATCTTCCTCTCTGTCCTGTTCCAAAGCATCTTCCTCTCATCCCTGTTATAGTTGTTGACTCTGGTAATCCCACCTCCAGCCTTCTCTATAACACTGCAACGACTTACAGTCTCAGGATCTTTGTAGCTCCTACCACACCCAAATTATGGCTCAGGCTCACTCCGTTTGAACTCAACCACAGCCTTTATCTTGTCCTTTCTGAGGCTGTTGCTTCCCGTCCCCTGCCCTCTGCATCTTGCTAGGTACCTCTGAATCCTCACTGAAATCTTCAGTGACTGTAGAAGTGGAGGCCTGGCGAGGGAGTTTGGTTTCATACACCATGATGCTCCACCTGTTGAAAAGAAGGCGTCATAGCTGTCACTACAAGGCAGGTGATATCCTCCTTTATTCAAAGGATATAAAAGTTTAAAACCTGAACCAGAACAAACTACACTTTAGCAGGAGCATGACTGATACAAGCAAGCCACAGTGATGCGTGGAAACAGCAGAGGCTGGAGCAGGGAGGGATGACACTATAAACAAGACTCCCACAGCACAAAGACCTTCTGTTTGCCCTCCTTCCTTCTCTCACAAAAATACTACGGGCATTACTTGGCATGTCCGACACGACAGCTGCCAAGATGCAACTCTAAAGACAAGAAATATTTTAAATGTATAAAAACATACGGACCATATAGATAATAGTGGTAAAAATGCCCATTTCTTCTTCCATTTTTCTTTTCTAAGCCAACCTCAAAACAAATTACTTCAAACTTACCACAAGACAATTTCGCTTAAAAAAGAAAAAAAAAACATGACCGTAAGACTGCCAAACTCAACTGACCAGAACTCCGGAGCACAAGAGAACGTGCTGGACATCAGAGTGACAATTTCACTCATTACTATTTTGCAGAAGTGACAGAGAATGCAAGACTGCCTTTTGTTGATAAAAGGTGACAGAGGATTATGAAAGAAAAACAATAACTTGATCTAGTAACAAGTCCAGCAGCTGGGTAGAATCAAGTACCGCCCAATTCTCCTGGAAGGCGATTTTCACGCAAGTCTTGAGCAGGGAAGGATATGAGTGAGGGTTATTCATCACCTGTCCAGCATTTTGGTACTGGCTCTCTCCAGCTTCTCCAGGATCTGTGGGAGTTGGGTATCATCATCGCAAGCAGATCCCCAGCCTAACACACGGGCAAGGTCATTTCCTGTTCCCAAGGGCAGCACTCCCAGCTGGCACTGCATCACAGAAAAGGACAATGAAAAATTCATGTTCAAGTGGGAAAACACAAGCTGCAAACAGCCAAAAGTAACACGACCGATTCCTTACAAAGACCAGCCATTGAGATGTGACTAGTCTCAGGGTGAGAAGAAAGCAACTGGGTGGGGAAAACAGTCAGAAGGGCACACAAGTAAGAGAAAAGTTCCCTCTGCTTTTAAGTTGTTCGTTGAGAGAGGAGTATATCACAGCTACACTCTTGAGCACCTTGCTTAAAATAACCCTTTCTATGGATGGTAGGACTTCAATGTATTCATTTTACCATCAGGTGGTGCTATTGCCCTTTCTGTAAAATTAGCAGAGTCAGCTCCAGGACCAAATGGAAACAAACACTGTGTGATAGATACCTTTACTCCAATAAAGTTTCTAGCTATTTTCCAGGACTCTGAAATAACAACGCGAGAATTAAAGGGCATAGATTAGGAGCTCTATCCTCGTGGAAGTCCTGGCTTTCTAATTGCAGTCCTTTCCCACTGTAAGTCCCTGCTGCAGTTCGTAAGAGGAAGTTGTGGAGGAGCCCTGGAGATAGAGACAATTAGTCTAGTCCTGCTTCTTGCAGCAAATTACTGGTAAGCTTTCACCAGCTTCAGTCCTGGGCAAACTTCATCTGCAGGATCAGAGTTCTCCTCAAACCCTGCTGTTTATGTTACTTCGATCTTACATCCAGCCAAGCTCACTGGACAGGTACCTGCTTGTGAAGATTGAGGCTATCAATTTCGGAGAGAACCCAGCCAACACTTCCATCCCCACCGCAAACTAGAATCCGGAAAGTGTCAAACTTCTGGAATAAGCGTAAACTACAGAGAGGGGAAAGAATAAAAAACCAAGAGAGAAGAACAGTCAGCTGTTAAAGAAAGGAAGGATAAACAATTCTGATGTAGGTTATAAACACAGCAGATTTGCTTAAACTTAGCTCTGATTTTGCAATGAATGCAAGCCACTGTCAGATTACAAGTGAATTCAAATTCATGATTATAATTAAGGAATTACAAATACAGCTATGCAAATTACAAAGGCTATTCACTACAGAAAGATGTCCCAGACATTTTCCCCTTCTAAACCAGGGCACTTTTGTCTGAACAGAAGAGGAAATAAGCATGTGATAGCTGATTATCCATTGAATTAATTCCTTTTTGCAGATTTGCTGTGTTCAGCCTAACACTAGTTATTTGTCACCATTTGGAGTGCTCTGATGTCACTGCGCCGCATTCAAAGCCACACCAATTAAAGCAAAACTGGAAGAGCGAGAACTTTATGCAGTCATTCAGTAAGCAGACGACTGTAAGAGGATACAAAACCTCACAAGCGTTAGTTCTTCTTGGAAGGCAACATAAATCAGTGCTCTGGCGCCTTGTCTGTCCTGCGGGCAGGCAAACAACTCACCAGCAAGACAAGTGTGATTTTCTCTATTCACCCTTTCGAGAATACAGGACGTGAAAACAACTTTTCCTTAAGCTGTTTGAAACTGTGCTCCTTATTGCCCGATTGTATTTTATTTTTGTATATATTCACATTTGGTTTTTATTACCTAAACAGTATTTGCTGTAACAAATAAAAACCATGTTTCTTCAAGCATTGTTGACACAAGATAGCTAGCTACCAGAAACGATGACATCTTAGGGTACAGTTCGACTGGCACAACTTTAGAAGACAAACTATTAAGAGGCAGCCTCTACCCCGTACCATCGTTTACTTTTTAAAACAAACAAACAGAAAGAGCTATCTTAGAAGTGTTCACTACAACTTGAGAAAATAACTGATTCTTCCCCTTTCTCTGCCTAAAAGCAAAATTCCTCTCTACAGTCAGTCCAAACGGGGAGGGCAAAAGGTAACTAAAGTTTTCTGTAAATTATTCATTAGCCAAACACCTCCTTTGGACAGCATGCTGCAGTTTTAAAGGCAGCGCACTACGGCAAGAAGCAACTTCCTATGGTACCAAAGACAGTTCTCAGAACAGCAAACCCTAGCGGTCACTGGTGCAGGAGCAGGCACTCCCAGATCTAGGACTCTACACCTGTAGATCCTGGTCTTACGTTTGAGCCATAATATCTAGAAAATTAATAAGGAGATTCAACTTAATGTTGGCACTTATTATAAGAAGCATTCATTCAAGAGAAAGTTACTCAAGTCTGATGCGGTAAAACAGCCACAGAGAAATCTTTAAGGAGCAGACAGAGAAACGTTCAGGGAGCAGACTAGAGACCAGAGCTGCAGAAATATAGTAAAGGAATTTATTCCACAGCTGTCATGATTTTATCCACAGGTATTCCAATGGACTGTGGAAAAAAAGCTTGAAATGTCATCTAGCCCACCTTTAGTTCCCAAAACAGAATCAAATATACCTAAAGCATTCGAGAGAGACGTTTTTCCAACATCATCATGAAATCTTCCGGAGATGGAAGTTTCACACGCTTCCTGGGTAAGTTATTTTCTGATTTCGCATTTCCACAATATTCATTTGCTACCTACAATATTTGATTGGTGACTCGATTTAACTCAAGTTAAACAGTACACCAGGATGCCCGCTACAAGTCTGTTTCTGACAAGCTTTCTTCTGGAGTCAAGCTTTCCATGCTTGGTCTTCTTCCAGGGGAGTATTTCTGGAATTTCCCCCAAATCCCTCAAGCTGTTCTGCTGTTACTGGTGAGTGCAAATAATAACCTTTTTCAACAAGTTTGGTTTCAGCTAATCAATAACACTCAACACAGAGCGGGGAAAACCCCTCCACACTTTGCATGTATCCAGTCCTCTCCGAGGAACAGGTTCCTTGCTACATTTGAGGACAGGCTGAGACAGCCTTATAATCAAATCACTTGGGTTTTTCTGGTATTTACAAGGAACGTATGTCTCCACAGATTATCTGCTTACCCAAGGTGAGGTCCTCCGTTCATGAGGTCAAAGACCTGGGCTGGATTCAGTAGCTGTTTGAATCTTCGCAGAAACTTTACACCCTGGTTGTCTCCACTTTTTGAGTTGACAAAGACCAACAAAGGGCTTGTGCAAGAGGGGGGGCAAGTAGCTTTCCAGAAACCTAAGTTGGGCAAAGAGAGGTGGGGGGAAGAAGAAACCAGGAGATGTGAGGCTGTCCATGGGGATGGGATGAGAAAGGAAAAACTACTCCACGCAGCAATGAAGCTAATACTTTCCCTCTGCTTCTGACACTCACAGGGTAAATGCCAAATGCGTACAGCCCTGAATCCAGCATGAACCACACCTCATGCTGCCAAATGTCACACTTAGCTCCTAGCAGTCTGCCAAAATTTTCAGCTTCCTCAATCTTCCCAAACTGCTTCTGCAACATAGTTGTTCACGATAAATTTTAACAGCTGCAGCTCAGCAAATGCGGATGTTACAGGGTAATAAACTGAATGCAAAAGCAAAGCAAACAGCCCATCGTCATACTTCAGCAAGATCTTCCAACTTGGAATTTCAGCAATGCCAAAAGCAAAATTTTCAGTTGACAGAATCTGGCATTAATAGTGTTAGCTGGAAGAACTGTGACTGGGAGGAAGAGAAAGAAAGCACTACTTACAAGTGATACTTACCATCCGAATCAATGCTGTTGAGAGCAGTGGGAGGAATAACAGATACTTTACATAGCCCAAGAGGGCACTTGGTTGGCAACAACTCTTTACATGTTGTGTGTACCTGAAACAAGAGAGAGAGAGACAGACAGACAGAGAGACAGACAGACAGACAGAGACAGAGAGAAACAAAGAGAGGCACTGTTATACAACTCAGAAACCCACCCAATCAAAGGTTGCAATGGAAGAGTAAAAAACAGAGAGGGGGAGAACCCAAACACGTGTCAATCAGTAAAGTTATTTTAAAGAAAGATCTGACAAGAGTCTTTTACTGATTTGCTTCTGCTCTTTCCGTTTATGCTTGCTTCTTATGCCATAAGAATTTATGAGACTAGTACTTTCAGCGATGAGAGGACAAGAAAACAGATTACGAGGCTTTAAGAGCCTTCAGGCACTCTGCTATCAAAATCATAGCCCAAGTTGAGAGATCAAAAGAAGGAACAAAACAAAAAGTTGGGAATTTGAGAAAATCCAAAAGCAAAAACCAGAGCACGAGGGACACGAGGCAAGAGAAAGAAGAAATAAAAGAAATAAAGCAACCTAAAAAAATAAACGCAAAGCAGAGCTGGGCACTTCATTTATTTCTGGTACGTGAAGACTGCCAGAGACCGGGTTGCCTAGGGTTTGAGGTTCAGTTTTTTCCCCATATTATAAACTCACATGTTGTGAGTCTTCCCTTATTAAACTTACAGACAACTGGAAAAGTAGCAAGATCTGTATCACTGAAGTGATTAGGCAAGAGAAAAATCATTGCAGTGGGAAGGGAAACGGCCATTATTAAAATAGCTTAATACTCCTTATTGTCTTTTTAGAGTATCTTTTCAACTGGTAGAAATGACAAATAACATCTCCTTAAAATACATCTCCCATGCCTGAGGTGTTGATTCAGATCCAGTGTAATTAGATTCTCCTATGAAAGCTCACTATCAAGAGAAAATGAGCTTGTAGAGAAGCTAGACACTTATTTCAGGTCTTACTTATGCATCACAGCGATACTTCTCAGCACAAATACACACACACACACACACACACATATATATATATATATATATTTATTTATTTATATATATATATATCTTTTGCAGGCTTTTTATCACCTGGAGAAAGACCAATAAAGCCTTTGATGGCAACTACTGACACCACGGAAAGAGATTTCATTTTAAGTAAATGTCATTAAAAGAACACACCACAGAGCTGATCAAAGATTGCCCTTTTACTGAAACGACTGTGTTTATTCAGCTCACCATGGCTTTGCACCAGAGGCAGCGCCAGTCTTGCAAACGTAGGACGCTGCCACAGGTTTTATCGCACACAGTGCACTTGGCACTCACAGGCAGGTTTCCTTCCAACCATTGATGTGGCATCGAGATCTGCAAACGGTACAGAGGGAGAGAACCAGTGTGGACTTTCCAGAGAGCAACTCAGAGAGCACAGGATGTATTACGGCATTGAGACACACAGAGATAAGTCTCTGCGTGCATTGTTTGAAGACAGCAAAGACAATTTCTAGAAAACACCTAGGTATCTCTTAGGCGTTCTACATCAAGCTGAAACACAAAAGCATCAGGGGACTTACCCAAGGCTACACAGGAAACCTGCAACAGAACATGGACTTGCATCAGACGTCCCATATGCTGTGATAACATTCTAACCGCTCATTCGTCTTTCTTTTGCAAAAACTCAGACCAGGTTCCCTGTGCTTCAAACTATTCAAGTTCAAAACCCCTGCTCCATTGCTCCACAGGTGCCTCTTGCTATTAAGGAAACCTCAGCACCCTGGCTGAGGACTATTTAAAAGTAGTCTCATTCTCTGACAGTAAATTCCTTTTCCACCTCACTAACACATAAAGGCAGAATCTGCTATTTGTACAGTGCAGAAAGCTGTACAGAGGACGTGCCGGTGCTTCCACATCAAGATAAGGCCAGAAGAGTTAAGACTAATGCCTACCCCATCTTCATCCTCAATGATATCCTTCCCGATAGAGGCCAGAGTTGTCCACTTGCAGTTATTGGTTGCCCGCACAGCACAACGCTTGTGGGCTTTAAACTTGCACACTAGAGAGGAAGAAAAGAATACATTAATCCTGCCTCTGAACACGCACTGTGGTAGTCTGTGCAAAAGTGTTCCCAAGCAACCGTATCTGGCTCCAAAAGAAAGCACGGGCACTCACTGCCCTTGTTAGCACTGCCAAAATCATCAACTCTAAGCACACTGAGTAAGTTCAGCTAGCTATTAATTCTTGCCTCATCACTTTTACCAGTTGCTTGTACACAGCTTAGTTATCACCTTGTTAAATTTGACAGGATTCATACAGTCATATGCTCCTGCATCCTTTTACACAGCATGGGTGTAACCTCATTCTCACGAGAAGTACGAGCTGCGAGTAGGCAGGCACGTCTGCTGTGCTAAAGCTGAATATGAATAATCTCCTGACATTCAAACATTTAACAGGGATGTTCTCATAAACAGGAATATTCTTATGAACAGGAAAATGTTTATGTTCCTATATCCCAAGGCTAAAGCCTTTGCAGCAGGGATGGTAGAAACAAATGCGCGCCAGATCCTTGGTCGCCACCGTTCATAGCATTAATGTAACATGAAACTGATGCTGGCTTACACCAGTTTGAGAACTTGCTGGCACTGGGGAGTCCATTCCCGCTGTTGCCTCTGCTAAACGGGAGGTAACCTACACAGAGGAATAGGCTGAGCAGCTGAGGTCAGTAATGCCTTCACTGTTTGTCTTTTATACCTCAGAAATGGACACTTGTTCATTTTAGAAGATTGTAACAGGGGATGGCACTGTTTGGGTATACAGGAGGGGGGAAAAAAACAAAAACAAAACCAAAACCCCAGCCACATCATTTTCAGGTCCAACTCCAAAACCAGCATGAGATTAACTTCTTTTCTATTATCTTTTTACAAAATGCTAGGGACCTGATCCTGAGTTCCTTGGGAAAAGTCTCTGTGAAGCCAAAAGGGGTTCAGCAACAAAGGGATTCAGGATCAGGTCTCGAAAGGATCTCCAGTTTCATACACGGCCTGTAGCTTTCTAAGTTTCTTCGGCAGCACTTTTCTACTACATCTTTCTGCAGACTGCTAATAACACTCCTCTTAAATGATCTCTGGAACATGGCATTGAGCTATAAAGATGATGCTCCCAGAACAGGAGACAAAAAAGCACTCTTACCTTCACACGAGAGCCCATGTGACGTGACTCCAGATAATGCCTCCCGACACACGTTGCAGTACGTTGGCCGAGCGTGTGAGCAGGCGTACCAGTTATGCATCCCTGAGAAATGGTCCATGCTGTACTGGGTAGACTAAAGTAAATACATTAGAGCAAAATCTAAAGTAGAGGCACAAGACTTTTTTTTCTTAAAACTAAGACACTCGCGTAACAGTCAGAAAAGGCAGAAACAGAATGGTCTTTACTAGGGAAGAGTAGGCCACATGCAGTTTATTCATAGCAGCTGTAGCTCAAGAAATACTTTAAGCCAGCACAGATTGCTTGAAGAAGGAGTCGCACCTTAATCCCTACTTTGGTGTCATCTCCGATCCTTGTCTCACCACAAGCGTATGGAGTTGCGTAGGAAAACAAACTTACCTGCTGGGGAGCTCATCCTTCCCTTCCCCTTTTTTGGTTG